CACTGGCTACATTTTTTACAACTAGTTTTTTTGGTTGTAATTAGTGTGGATTAGAAGCATAACCATGTAAAAAGGAAGTGACCTATTAGACTTTTCTCCCCTCCTCCGCCATGCATCCTGCCCTGGTGACAACGTCTCAGGCCCAGGGGTCATGGCTTGGGGCCACAGCATGCTCTGTTGCAGGACACTGGAGGCTGGAGGTTCTTCTGAGACTTCAGACGCCCTTGTGACTAAGGAGCGCACCACAGTAAGTAGAGGCCTCTCTGCAAGGGGGCAATTCAGGGCTGATATTAATTAAGGGAACATCTGAGTACTTCAGCTCCTGCAGTCTACAGGAGATAATTTGACATCGCTTCTGTTTAATCCTGAAGCTAGATCCATGCAGAGGAAAAAGAACTGTTGATTTTTTTGTTTTTTGTTTTTTGTTTTTATGTATTTAGTATAGGGTCTACAGGGTCTCACTACACATATCAGACACTTGTAGTGATCCTTCCTGTTTTTCAGCCTCCTGAGCACTGGGATTACAGGTGTGTGCTACCACGCCCAGTCTCAGTTGCCCTCTCAGTGCACCCACGGGGCGGGGCTGGCACAGCAGGCCAGGGATCAAACCCCTGGCCCCAGTGTCTGCCTAAGCAGGTTCTTTAATCCACTGAGCTATCTGGCTGGCCCTGATTTGAATTTTTTTTAGGCAGAGTAAATTCAAGCAGCTACTTAAGGAATTATTGGATAGTGAACCATATCCATTTGAAAATATTACATGGAAATTTATCTAGAAGGAATATTTTGATCTAATATGTATCAACATTAAAATATTTTTATTTGAAAAATAAATACCACAAATATTTTTCATCATGAAAAGATAATGAGATTCCCAGTCAAAAAAAACAGAGCTAAATTTACCACTCTCATAAGGGGGAACTATGCTGGCCAAACACAGCTTTTTTTAAGCAGAAGACACTGCAGTGTTTTATATAGGCTTTCGAAAAAAAATGGATTTGAGGATTGGCCATGGTGGGTTGACATTAGCTGAGAAAGCTGAATTCTGATTGGTTGGCTGTCAGAGTGAGTGGTGTCCACCTCTTCCTGATTGGCTGATTTTCAGAGTTCAGTGGCTGAAGGGGATTGGCTGGCAAACACAACTTGTTAATCAGGTTTGGGTGGCTACTTATTACCATAGATACAGGAAAAGCGGTCTTTCCTAAGTTTGTGGGTACTTTAATTCTTAGTATTAGCTATATGTATAATTACTTCCCCAAAAGCAAGCATGTATTTTAAATATTTTTGAAATGTAACAAGAGTAAAGGGACAAAAAAAAAAAGAGTAAAGGGACATTTTAAATGTACAGTACTGCAAATCTTACACATCTGTATATAGTAGAATATTTGCCACCCACATCAGGGTATAAAAGTAAAAGATAGCACCTTTGGGCCCCCAGAATTTTCCCTCACTGCTCTGCCTGATCACTACACCCAGCACCATTTTGATTTCTGTCCCCGTGGAGGCCAATTTATTTAAGTTCATGGGGACTGGTCAGATCACCCCCAAAATATCAGACCATAGTGTCTGGTGGTCAAGGACTTCTATGGGATAATCGAGCAGGAAATACAGAGGCAGAATGGCTTGTCCCTTGAGGGTTGGTTTTTATACACTGTGCATCAGAGTGACAGATCTTTCTCAGAGTCAGAAGCAACCAGAACACAAACTATTATTACCTGGGCAACTAACAAACTGAAGTATGCTGGCAGGGGATGGGGGCAGGGGCCTTTTCTGCTTCACTTCAGCGTCCAGATTGTGGCATGTGGTATCTGTTAGGAGGCTTTGCTGTGGCCCAGGTGAGGGGGGTGGAGCTGGTGAAGACAAGGCACGTGATTTGCGTGATGGTCAGCTGCAGAGTGTGAGAGAAATGAAAGTGAATGCTTAATTACCCAAGTGGCCGAAAGCACGGAGTTGCTGTTGATGCCAGGGAAGGTGGCTGCAGCAAAGATGGGGAACTGTGAGGTGTGTGTTGCATCTTGTGTTTAATTAAGCGCGGAGTTCAGGAGCGAGGTCCAGACTGGAGAGAGAAGGCTGTGCAGTGTCAGTATTGCAGTGCAGAGAGAATGAGGCCCTGGAGCTGTCCAGCATTTAAAGGCAAGGAAGGTGGGGAGCAGCCAGCAGAAGAAGAGATGGGGCTAAGAGAGAGCAGGGGCTGAGAAAAACCAGGGCTGCAACGCCGCCGCCGCGTGAGCAGGTACCACCACGTGTGGCTTCTGGCAGGACTTGTGACAAGAGCTGAGAGCCGCTGGGCTCTGGCTCCACACAGTGCAGGTGGTGAAGGCCAGGTGCAGGAAAATGGGGAGGAGAACAGGCATTGAATCTAGGCAAGTGCTTGGGAGTTTTGCTGGAAAGGGAGCTAAGAAGTGTGTGGCAAGAACCGTGAGGCGAGAGAGTGTGTTGTGTGTGTGGAGGCGCAGCAGTCTGCTCACAGCTGGGCAAGCACAGTGCGCTGCTCGGTGCTCCTTCGTGGATGGGGAGGCCCCGTGCCACAGTCGTGGTCCCAGCGAGCAGGACTGGCCTAGCTGAGAGCCTGGCGAGGGGCAAGTGGAGAGGATCGTACGGCTGCGGGTGTGCAGCCCACTGTGGCTAAGCGTAGACCTCGGGCTAGAGCCCGCAGGTGTGTGGGCGGTGTTACAGCCGTGGGAGAAGTCTGGTCAGCTCGGAAAGTGGGACTGAGTTACAAGGGCCCGGCCGTGGCTGAACACTGTGACATTAGTGGTAATAAATTTCAAACTGTGACCAATTCCTTTGTGTGTTTTCCTTCAGCTTCGTCTGCCATTTGTGTCCTGGTTAGAAGCAGAAAGGTTGGCTTTAACCATAGTCGATGTTTTTGCCTGAGGAATTAGGAAAGGATGAGAGATATTAAGAGTTAATGGAGGGGGTCGGGGAGATGGCTCAGTAGAATGAGTGCTTCCCTGGCAAGTTCAAGAGCCTGAGTTCAATCCCCGGATCTGCCAAAAAAGAAAAAAAAAGTTAATGGAGGTATACATAGATTGCTGTTGACAAGGACTTCATGCGTGTTTATGGAAAAAGTTTATTCCAGTGAAAGTCACATTGCCATTATTTGTTCTCAAAATACACCTTTTTCCCCCCTGTATTTTTTAAGGGTCTACAGGGTGTTCAGGGTCTCACTACTAGATTGGGCGTGTAGTGATCCACCTGTTTACAGCCTCCCAAGAGCTGGGATTACAGGCATGCGCCACCACGCCCAGTCTCAGTTGCTGTCTCAGTGCGCCCCGGAGTTGGGGCTGGCACAGCAGGCCTGGGGATAGAACCCCTGGCCCCTGCCTGCAGGCGCTTTAATCCACTGAGCTATATGGCCAGCCCTTTCAAAATACACTTCTGACACACTTAATTCCATTGTTCTTTCCACTTTCTGAAGCAGTTCTGGGAATCTCTTTCCTGAATGTCCTTGAGATGTGATTTTAAAAATATGCTAAGTGCTGCTGCCATCCAACAGAAAGGCAGGCTTAACAACATTATGGGGTAGCTTCCTCCATCATATTCACAAATCTTGCACAGTGAGGAGACTACTGGCTCTTCCCCAAAGTCAGAATGACCATGTTTGATAGACATTATGAGTTGATTCAGGACATTTAGGCAGCCGTTACAGCACAACTAAAGACACCCCTAAAAGAGAATTTCCAGGGCCAGGGAGATAGCTCAGTGAAATGAGTGTTTGCCTGGCAAGCGCAAGGTCCTGAGTTTGATCCCTGGCACCACCAAGGGGGGGGGGGGGGGGAATTTCCAGAAGTGCTTCAGAAAGTGATAAGAATGATGGGATAAGAGTTTTTAAAGCACAGGGGAGGATTTTGAGGGGGATTAATGGTAATATGCCTTTTACTGTAATATTTTTAAAATTTCAATATTCACTGTTTGTTTTAGTACACATTATATATGGTAAATACAAATGGCAAATAAATATATGTAAAAGTGCATCGTTGATGCAAGTTAAAACAACACTGAGATTTCATCTCACCCCAACAGGAATAGCTGTGATCAAAAAATCAACCAATAACAAATGCTGGAGGCACTGTGGAGGAAAAGGAGCCCTTGCCCACTGCTGGTGGGAGTATGCACTGGTACAACCACTGTGGAAATCAGTGTGGAGATTCCTCAAAAACTAGAGTTATAGGTCCCATTCACCCCAATTATTCGCCTTCTGACTTTTTCCAGAATTGAAAACATCATACCACCGTCATATACGTGCCCTTGTGTGTTGTAACAGCACACTTTGTTGCAGCGTGCTTTGTTGTAGCTAAATTTTGGAAACAACCCAAATGCTCATCAACTGAAGAATGGGTAAAAAAGATGTGGTATTTTTATACAGTGGTTAAGATAACTGTGGGCATTGTCGAAGTAGACGCACAGTGGCATTTCACCAGCATTTCAGTCTGCATTTTACTGAATTATGATGGAGAGGGGAGCAGGAAGGAGCGGGGGACAGTGAGTTGGAGACAGTACTGCTGCTAAGTGCATGCACAGCTTCCCAGCGCGAACTCCACCCTAGTAATGCTTGCATCTGCTGCCTGGTCAGAAACATATTTTCCCTAGGGGGAGAGGCCGCTCACTCTGGGGGTGTCTTGCTGTCCCTCACTCAGGTCAGTCACCGTTCGCCCAGCCAGGGTGAAACAGCAGTGCCGCTGCAAGTGGCTGAGGCATGGTCCTCACCCAGGTGAAGCCCTGAGGGGAGAGTGGATTTGGCTTCTACTCTATTATAATTGTTTAAATTCTAAACCCTAAATACTGTCAAACACGTATTTTAATGGCTTTGAGCATCATTCCCTCCTCTTTTTTCCCCAGTTGATGGTTTTGTTAACAAAAGACCAAAAGGTAAAGGCTGGAGTGCTCTCTAAGAGGAGAGGAGTGTGACGACCTGGGGAAGAGCAGGTCAGGCACCCCAAGGTGTGCTAGGTGGGGAGAGGTGGCCAAGAATTGTAAGTGTCCTCCTTCTTTTCTTGTAGCTTTAAGACAAAGCAGGAATCATTGCTTAAGAGCATCAGGTGACACCCACACTGGGAAGCATGGCGCTGCCGTTCCGGAAGGACCTGGAGAAGTACAAGGACCTGGATGAGGATGAGCTGCTCGGGAAGCTGTCTGAGCTGGAGCTGAAGCAGCTGGAGACTGTTCTGGATGATCTAGATCCCGAGGTGCGTGCTCCCTGTGAAGGGGGACGGTGCTCCCCGTGAAGGTGAGCGGTGGCGCTGCATCCTGGGCGCAGAGCTGCCGCTGAGCAGCGAGCTTCCCCACCCTCCCAGAGGAGTGGCTCCACCCCTGCCTGCACCCTCGTGGTGGGGCATCCTTCTCGGACGCCTGCATGTTCATTCCCTCTAAGGGTTCTGGCCATGCTAGCAGACTGCTTGCTCCTCCACGCACGCTATCAGTGTCTCCAGCTGTGCTGGCACAGCCCAGCACCCTGTGCCCTGCAGTTTTGTGGCCTTAGGCCTCAGGGTGCCCTGCTGAGGGTGCTGAGCCCTTGGTGTCACTTCCTGCCATGGAGCGGATCAGCTCCGGTGTCCTGGAGTCGCCATCCCTGACAGGCCTGTCTGAGGTAGAGACTCTGCACTTAGCACACTGAGCCCAGCACTGTAGCCCAGTCACCTTGAGAACGTTTACAGAGCTTGCAGTTGGGTGGTCACCCCGCATCAAGCCTGCTGCGCGAGGGTGGTGCACGCCCCTGTGCAGCCTTCCTGTGCGCAGATGTGTGTTTGCACTATCTGGGAGCTGAGCTGTTGTGAATCAGGGACGTCTACATAGTCTGCTTATGTACTCTGTGTTTTCAAGCGGACACTATTTGTCATATAAGTTACCAGGCTACTGTGGAGACCTCAGCCTCCTGCTGTCACGAGTGCCGAGGAGGGGCTAGCAGGGGAGGGCCTGCAGGCCCGGCAGGTAGGTGCCAGTGGTTCCCCACACGGCTGTGCCCAGGCGTTCACTTAGGCACCCTTCAGGATGGAGCCTTGACCTGTATTTTCTTTCCTTCGGGTGCTGGAGCTTAAGCTCAGGGTGAAAGCTGTTTGATTCATTGCCATGCTGGGAGTGTATTACTACAACAGAGTTGCACTACTACACGGGAGAGACATCATGCATAGCAGCAGTTTTTTCTTGTTTTTGATTTGGTTTGATTTGCGGTACTGCATGGTGATAGAACCCAAGACCTTTGCACTGAACTATATCTGCAGCCCTTTTTCAGTTTTTTTGTTGGTGGTGATAGTTTTTTGAGGCAGCCTTGCCGACTTCTCAGGCCGGGCTCCAGCTTGCCTCCTGTCTCCAGCCTCTCAGAGTGCTGGGAGTACAGGTGCGTTCCACTGTGCCCAGCTTTGTGTGTATGTGTGGCTTTCTGAGGCAGGATCTCTCTTTACGCAGTCAGGTGGCCCCTGAACTCCGTGTGTAGCCCAGACTGGCTTCTCCAGAGAGCTGGGATGGGGGCATGGGCCACCGTGCCCCTTTAGAATTTACTACTTTTTTGATGGTTTTTGTTGTTTGTTTTGTTTTTTTACATGGGATGTTACTGTGTGTCCCAGGCTGGCCTCCAGCTCATGGGGAGCCTCCAGGCCCAGCCTCATATAATGTATTTTAAAGCTATATTATTTTGGGGCTGTTGTGGCATATCACCTGTATGGCAAGCATGAGGTCTTGGTTTGATTCCTGGTACAAAAAAAAAAAAAAAAAAAAAAAAATTAGAAACTCTGTCATTTCACAGAGGCTTGAGCACGCAAGTGAGGTAGTGCAACTCCACCCCCACTGAATCAGCAGGATCTGCGTGTGTGCTTTCTGAGTGGAGCGCAGTGACTTTGTATTAGTTTGTCTCAGCATTTTTATCCAGTAGCATCCTAGAAACTTTATCCAGTGAGGTCAGGGGTCACCCGGAGGCTACTTGCCAGGTATAGGAGACAAGTGTGATCCACCTAGATGAGCCCCTCCCTCCTGATACAGGCATTGTCAGTCAGAATCGCACCAGATCTGAAAGGAGGTGGGTGCTGTGAGCCAGGGAGTGGAGCCACAGCCCGAGGAGCATAGATTACCAGGGAGCCTGCAAGGGTAGGGGCTGTGCCCCTGAGGCCTGCGGTGCAGGGAACTAACTGGGCACCTGGCCCCGCGTCTGAGGAGGCTGAGGCCAGGGTGTGGGGTGGAGAGGTGGGGAGGTGAGCCCAATGAATGAGAGTGAGCGAGCCAGTGAGGGCTGTGGAGGATGGGCCTGTGGGAAGCCTGGGAAGCTTGGAGCGGGTGAAAGGCTGCAGATGGCACAGCCAGGCTGACCAAGTCCCTTAGGAAGCAGGTGTGGAGTGGACCCACAGTGGAGTGGGAGTGGCTTCGGCTCTGACCCATTCAGTTCACAGTCACAGTTGGGGCAGAGAGGTCGTGGCTCTTATGGTCGGTCCTATAGATAGTTGAGTCTGGTTCACGAATTTATACTTGGTGCTGGATTAGGGACAGACCTATGGGCCATCTTTAGAAGTCAGCTTGCTGTGTCATAAGTGTCATTATGTGCAAGAAGACACAGGTAAAGCTTATGAAAATTATCGTGGGTATTCACAAATGGTCAAAGCTGCAGTGGTTGGTTTATACTTATAAAATGAACATTTTCAGTTACCATTTGTCACATGCAGTCGCTCCTTGTAATGGAAAGTGGTCCTACTTCACCTCAGGCTCTAGCATCACTGCCAGTATAGGGAGGGTACAAAAGAGCCTCAGCCCTCCGGTGCCTCTCATCTGTCGAACAGAGCAGCGCCCATTAGGGTGAGGCCAGGCCGTGGCACCTCTGGCTTCTGAGGAGAACAGGCGCTCACTCAGTACTATGGCTCCAGGTTGCTCCTTGTGCAGGATAGGTTCATAAGGCCCCCCATGAACAGTCTGGCCCTCCCCCTGGCCCCACTGTCAGCCTGCCCTCCAGGGCTGTGCCCACTGGGATCCTGGGCCATGGCTCCTACTGCGGGCATGCATGGTGTGGATAGGAACTGTGCAGCACAGCGGCAGTGACAGCTCCTGTGCCATGGGGAACAAGTCCTCATTAATCTCCTGGTATTCTCTACAATGCACATGTCTGTCACAAGAGGCTGTATGATTAAGGGGCAGTCATTAAAGGGACGGTGAGATAGCTCAGCAGACTAAGCACCTGTTTAGGCCAGTGCTAGGACTGGGGTTCGATCCCCAGTGCCACGTACTGCTCCAGCCCCACTCCCTGGGCACACTGAGCTAGCCACCAAGACTGGGCTTGGTGGATGTGGTAGTGCATGCCTGTAATCCCAGCTCTGGGAGGCTGAAAACGGGAGGATCACTGCAAGTCCAAGCTGTGTAGTGAGACCCTGTACCAATACATTTAAAAAATAAGTGGCAATCATTATGAAAGAGTACGTATAGTTGCTTAAATTCTTTGGTGATAGAATTATTCTACTTATGTATATGCTGAGCAGTTATTAAGTATTAAGAAAATTTTTTATTACAGTTCTTGTATATTTAAAAACTAAAGGATTTTTTGTACTAGTAGCATCTTTTCTTTTCTTTTTTTTTTAATTTTATTTATTTGTGTGTATGTGTGTGTGTGTGTGTGTGTGTGTGCGTGTGGCCAGCTCAGCCCACCAGGGGGCGGGGCTGGCTGGCATGTGGTGCGGGGGGATTGAACCGTGGTCCCTGTGCTTTGCTAAGCTTGTTCTAAGTAGGTGCTTTAGACCCCTGAGCCATCTCACCAGCCCCTAGTAGCATCTTTTCTAAGAAAACATAGGTACCCATTTTAATGATGTAAATGAATTCTCCCAAATTTGTAGAAAGAACTGTGTTCAGAGCCCTTTTACCCCACTGCTGTGGAATCCCGCAGCACTGCAGTGTCCAATGCCATGTGCACTGTCCTCTAGAACTCTACGCAGGAGCTCTGTGGATGCTCAGGGCGCCGGCCTTTGGTGGTCCTAACAGCTGATTCGTTCTCTGGCAGAATGCCCTTCTGCCTGCAGGGCTCCGGCAGAAGAACCAGACGTCCAAGGCTGCCACTGGCCCGTTTGACAGAGACCACCTCCTCTCATACCTGGAGAAGGAAGCGTTGGAGCATAAGGATAGGGAAGACTACGTGCCCTACACTGGGGAGAAGAAAGGTAAGCCTGGGACTTGGAGGTGAGACCGTAGTGGTAGATCCTCCTTTGCTTTGAGAGGTCTTTCATGGGCAGCATTTAGACGCGTGTTGCTGTTTACTTAAACGTGTATTGGTGTGGTTTTGTTGCCCACTGATTTTGTGTAACACTTCCTAGTTCTCTGTTGTTGGAAAAGTGCTGAAGTAAATTTTTAAGTTCACTAGTGTATTACAGAGGACATAGTCATGTTAAAGCCGTGCTCAGTTCTGACTTTTTTTGAGACAAAGTTTCACTATGCAGTATGGAATTTGAGCTCATTTTGTAGCCCAGGCCAGCCTTAAACTCACAGCAATCCTCCTGCCTCAGTCTCCCAAGTTGCTAGGGTTACAGACCACTCCCAGCTTCCATCTCCTTTCTTTAAGTGGAATGCCATAAAATGGTTCATGTCTGGTATGGTGTCGCACACCTAAAATCCCAGCACTGGGGCCAGGGAGGCCTGAGTTCAATCCCCAGTTCCACCAAGGAAAGAAAGGAAGGAAAAATAAAATCAAGCACAAGGCCTGAGTTCAATCCCTAGTTCCACCAAAGAAAGGAAGGTAGGAAGGTAAAATAAAATCCCAGCACTCGGATGCCGACGTAGGAGAATTGCATAAGTTTGAGGCCAGCCTGGACCATGTAGTGAGTTCAACATCAGCCTGAACTAGGTAGTGAGACCCTGTCTGAAAAACCTAACAAAGAAATGAAAAATGATTCTCGTGTCGTTTTTCAAGGCACCTTCTAAAAGATGCCCTCCTGGGGGCCTGCCCCTTAGCTCAGTTCTTTAAGTGCCTGCTTCAACAAAGCAGTCAGGCTCAGGCTGCTGTGGTTCGATCCCCAGAACTCAAACCAGCCAAACCTGCCCTGAAGGTATTAGGAGCAAAAAAAAAAAAAATCCTTCTGCCATTTTTTAAAAAATAAAATAAAAAATAAAAAAAATGGGGCTGGGAGATGACTCAGTAGAATAAGCGCTTGCCTGACAAGCACAAGGGCCTGAGTTCAATCCCCGGTTCCGCAAAAATAAAATAAATAAAAATAAAAATAAAAAATAAAAGATGCCCTCCCTTCGTACCTTTCCTTTATAGTTCGTGGCTGTAATGGCAGGAGTCTGGCTGCCAGGACACCCCCAGTCCAGCTTCCTGCCATTGCAGCGTCTAATCTTAGGTGCTGCCGCTGCGGACTGAGTGCAGCTGTGTTTTGTCTGTACACTGCTGGCTTCAAGGAGATGGCAGGCATCTCTCAGCCGCTGCAATGGTTCCGAGTACAGCTGGGGTTGAACCTAGGCCTTGGGCACGCTGAGCACTCACTGTGCCACAGGGCTGCACTCCCGGTGCGCAGTCCTTTCTAAAGCTGAGAAGTGTGCTGTAACACAGCTGCGCCACAGCTTGGCTATTCATCAGTGGATGGGCAGTTGAGTTGTCTCCACTTCGCTTATGTGCAAATTGTTATCGTGGACGTGCTTTCCTTCCTCTTGGGTTTGTGGTGGGAATGCAATTCCTGGTTCACAGAGTGTGTTAGCTTTCCCTTGCTGGGCCCAAAATACCCAGCAGCGTATAGCTTGAAAGGTCTCATGGTTCAGAGGCTTTCCTTCATGTCCGTGGGCTCTCCTGCTCTCAGGCTTATGGGGAGACGCAGATTGCTCACCTCAGGGCAGAGAAGAAAGCTGCCGGAGCCAGGGCAGGAGGACAGGAGTGCACTCTGAGGGCCGTGCCTGCCCCAGCTCTGCCCTCAGCACAGACTGACCCACCCTCCTGGACCCTGGCTGTGCCCCTTAGGCCCTGCCTCTGAGTGCCGACGGGACGAGGAGGAGGGGCAGGGGGCTGTGCTGAGCACCGTGAGGACCCCGTCACCCTGCCTTCTACACGTGGCCACACCAGTGAACACTAGCACCAGTAACACACATCCCTGCCAGCACATGTTGCCTGTCTTTTTATTGTAGGCCTCCTAATGAGTGTGAAGTGACTACGCTTTAGGGTTTGTTTTAATTCTGTTTTTGGTGTGCCATGCTGAGGGGTCACATCTAAGTCTTCGCCACAGTTTGTGTGAATACCAGGCACGTGCACGACTGTCTAGTTTGGCATTGACGCGTCTACTGCTAAGAACAAGTGTATAAGCTACCGTGTGTTAGGAGAAGCTCTGGCTTCAGAGGGGGGAGCTTGTATTCTAGTGAGCTCTGCTTCGTAACTTCACACCAGCATATTTGAGTCATGCTTTATAGATCGAAGCCATTGGACAGGCGGTGATCACCAGGCTTATTCATCAAGCTGGATCGCCTGATATGTTTAGGCGCAGATAGCGGGATGCTCGTGGGCAGCAGATACATGTGCAGGCTGTGTGGGGACGGCCTTGGGAAGTGTCGGGGCTTCCGAGGACGTTGGAGTCCACCGCCGGGCCTCAGTACTGGGACAGGTGCTATCGTCGCCTGCTCAGTAGCCCAGCAAGCCCAGGCTTGCTGCCCAGCCGCCTTTGTAGCTGAGGGATGGCCCAGTGGGCTGGTGCCCTTCCTTCCTCGCTTCCCCTCCTTCCCTGACTTTGCGAGGATATGTTCTCAGTGCTGTGCAGACCTAAAAGCAAAGGACTCCATGCAGAGCAGGATCAGAAAATGGAAAGAGCCTGGATCCTGGCTCTCCCTGTGCACTTACTAGGATGGTAAAAGTTCCCATTGCTGGAGCCTTGCTGCTCACACAGTGGTCTGCGGGGCGGTGCCAGCCTGAGCCGAGAGGCTGCGCAGCACGCAGGCCGCAGAGCCTGCCGCCTTACCCTGGCTCCCAGATCTGTAACACACCAGCTTAACACTTGTTTGGGTGCTCTGTAGCCAGCAGCTGAAATGTCGCCACTGGCACAGACACCTTGTGGATTGACTGAGGCACTCTTTTTAATAAGAAAATACATGACCAGAACTGATTCAGATGCCACCATATCTCGTTGTAACAACCAGCACAAACAGAATAAGCACGGTGACTGCCATGCTGCCACAGCTGCCACACTGCTTGTTGCAAGCCGGTGAGATGTGTCCGTGAGCCTGAGGACGGTCGGTGGCCATGTGCCCAGGGAGCTGCATTTTCAGGCGACGTAAGAAGGTGCATGTGTGTGGCTGGCTGCGCTGTGCTGAGCAGTACAGGCCTGGAGCCAGTGAGGCAGTAGAAACCCTTAGTTCTTTCTGCCCACACCTTCGTTCGGTGCCAGGGACAGAGAATACAGCAACAGCCTCAGGCACACCCAACTCTTTGATCTTTAGCAGAGAAGAAACACACACTGGAGCAAAGATAGCCTCTGTCATGAATGATATTGGAAAAACTGGTTATTCATTTGCAGAAGATCGAGTACAGACCCATATCTCACCATGTGCCGAACTAAAAATGGCTCAGGAAACTAAATGTTAAAACAGAACGTGTTGGAAGAAAAAAATTGGTAAAACTCAAAGAGATAGGCCTGGGGTGACTTGTGGAACAGAACCCCAGTGCCACAAGAAATAGTACAAAGACTCAGCAATGGGTTCATGTCAAATTAAGGCAAATCTTTTTTTTTTTTGTTGCGGAACTGGGGATTGAACTCAGACGCTTGCACTTGCCAGGGAAGCACTTACTCCATTGAGCCATCTCCCCAGCCCCTCATGTCAAATTAAAAGGCTTCTGTACAGCAGAAGAACCAACAGAATGAAAAGGCAACCTGTAGAATGAGGAAGACGTTTACCAGCTGTTGCACCAACAGGACTAGTGTCTAGAATATACAAAGAACTCAAAAAATTAGACTCCTCTGAATTAAAACACCCAATCCAAAAAAAAGGGCAAGTGGCATAAGTACACCCTGCCAGAAGTAGGAATGGCAGTCCATGCACGCGTGAAGCGGTGTTCACCGTCTCTGGCACTGGAGAAGTACAAACTAGGCGACCCTGAGAGCCCGTCCCACCCGTCTAGGCAGCCGGTCCTCGTCTACGCTCTTTTCCCGCAGCAGTTACGGCACCATATTACACTGAGAGACGCTTAGCCGTGTTCATGGCAGTGCAGCTCGTAATAGCTCAAGCTTGGACGCAGCCTGTAGCTTACACGGGATGTCTCTTCTTTTACAGGAGAAACCCAAAATATCAATAGAGCAGTATATAGGAATCAGGGAGCAGGAAAATAGACTTTCCTCAGAGGGGAAGGCGAACGAGATGGAAAGGCCTTGATGTGCTGTGCGCACAAGCCGGCCCCGCATAGCACTGTGAGCGGTGAGGAAAGTGATCTGGACAAGGAACAGCCCCGAAGGAACATGCCTTCACAAGCTGAGGGGGCCCGAGGAGGCCAGCAGTGGCCCTTGAGCTGAGTGTGGGGAGCTTGAGGACAGCAGGCCGGCCCTGGCTGGCTGAGCGCTCCACTCCCGGGGCTCTGGAATGCGAGAAGACAGGGTGGCTGCAGACAGATCCAGGGTGAGGGAGAGTGAGGCGGGGCCCTTGAAGAGCAGGGTTCACCTCCACGGCCTTTGGTGGCCACGTGGACGACTTCGGGCTTCCTCAAGGCAGGGCTGAGAAGAGCAACATAGCATGTGGAGAAACCTCTGCGGATGCAGGCTGGAGGACTGGCTTGGATGGAGCCAGAGGAGATTCAGAAAGGCCAGCTGGCAGCATTTGCAGGACTCCGTAGGAGGGAATCGACACGGTGGTAATGAAGGTGGAAAGAAGTGGTTTGGGCTTTGGGGTTTCCTGGCAGCATTGACGCTAAGACCTCTGCACTGAGCTACATCCCTAGTATTAGGATTGCAGACGCGGCGTCACCTGCATGGTCAGCTGTTCGACCAGCGGGTAGTGCCCTGAACACCGATACGCTCCTTCAGATTTTCAAGTCTTGCGTAGTAAATGGTAATCAACGTGCTGACTTTCTCATAGTAAAAAAGTCAGTTTCCAGGGTGACTAATTTTGTTACAGGTTTTGTAAGCTTAGAAGAGCAGTGATTAAAACTCCATTCAGAACATAGTAAATTTCTTTGCAGTTGAAATAAGAGTACCTAGAATCAGAACTGCCTCTACCATCCCCTAAGTGACAATTTGTTGCTTAAGAATAAGAAATTGGGGTTGGGGAGGTAGCTCAGTGGTCTAAGCACCAGCCTGGCAAGCACAAGGACCCGGGCTCAGTCCTCGGTACCGCATGCCGCACTGGCGCTGACCTCAACCTCGGCCCATGCTGCCTATACTTCTGCAATGCTGGCCAGCACAGTAGGGTGATGGAGTGAGGTCAGTGGGGATGGGACTCACAGGTGTTTGTATTTTACAGGGAAAATATTTGTCCCCAAACAGAAGCCCATACAGACCTTTACGGAAGAAAATATCTCTCTTGACCCAGAGTTAGAAGAAGCTCTCACGAGCGCTTCTGATACGGAGCTGTGCGACCTTGCAGGTGAGTGGCCTGGGCAGCAGGGGACAGGCAGGCATCTCTGGACAGTGCAGCAGGGCGCCCTGGGCCAGCAGCCGTGTGGGACCCGAGGTCAGGCTTCTGGGCACACCCACCCTCATACTAACCAAGCTGACTGGCCTTTCCCTGACTGGAAAGTTTTCCTGGAATTCTTATTCACTGGTGCCCAGATGGAGGCTGTCCTCCAGGAGGGCAGGGAGGTCACAGGAGAGGTCATCTGGAGCCCTGGGGCTAGGTTGAGAGGAGAAGGGCAGTAAGCCCTGACTGCCCCTACTGTGCTCCATCGCCCGACTTCCGCTCTGCTCATCCCAGCCGTTTGCTCTTCCTGGCCAGCATCTCCTGCCTGCTGCGGAGCTGCCCGCTCCCCTGGATATGTGAGGAGCCCCTCCTGTCGTGTAACCCCAGGGTGAATGTGTCTGGAAGCAGCAGCCTGAGTGTGGGGGCAGCTACAGGAAGGGACAGCCGAGGGGCCTCATCCTGTGGGTCTGCCTCATCCTGTGGGTCTGCACTGGTGGACATGTAGGTGGTGCCGTCCTCACGCTACCCTGGCTTCCAAATTATTTGTATAAAAGGCCATCAAAAACGAAGCCACTGTTTCTCTCTTAAATGTCATTTTTAAAGGATGCTATCTTATTCTTAAATAAAAGAATCAATAATACTTTGCGAATACTAGGGTTAGGCTAGCTCCAGCTGTGGGCCTGAATTAAAAATATGTGGAAATCCAAGTTTAGAAGTGTAGGAGAAAATAATGGGTATTGAAGAGAATGAGATAATTGAGGACTTTTGATCATTTTATCTCCCTTTTTTGTTTGTTTATTATGTCTGAAAAAAATAATCTGTATCTAATTTAGTCATAAGCCAGGCAGAGTGATACATACCTGTGGTCCCCACTACCCAAAAGCCTGAGGAATTCAAGTTCTGCCCGGGCAGCATAGCAAGGCTGCCTCCCAAACAGAACAAGAAAGTTTTAAACAAGAGGAAATAGAAATTGATTTTCATCTTCTGTCTCTCTACAGCTATCCTTGGGATGCACAACTTGATAACAAATACTCAGTTCTGCAACATTGTAGGAAGTAGTAATGGTGTTGACCAAGAGCACTTTTCAAGTGAGTACTAAAAATGCTGTGTCAAGTCTAGTCTCCTGTTAAATGTACTTCATTTTCTCCCTGTGAAGTCTTGGTACTTACATACATGGTGTCATACATTTGTACTTCGAACTTGACTTTCCAGCTTGACAGTATTGACAGAGAACACCACTGAAAGTAGAGGATTAAATAATGTGTGCTCAGTGTGTCAGCAACAGCTTGTAGGAACCCCTCTCACCTTAGTAAATAATATTAATGTAAAAAGCTAGTCACACTTTGTTTTTATCACTTTCAGGGGCCAGGGAGATGGCTCAGTAGTGAGCCTGAGTTCAATCCCCAGTTCTGCCAAAAATAAATAAATAAAAATAAAAGACAGCAATCAATATTTCATTATCAGTGCTACTGATTTTCATCTTCCAAACCTTTCGGTCTGATACAAAATGTTAAATTGCTTAAAACATAGCTTTTTAAAATCTTATTGGTAAGGGTCCTGGCCAAGTAGCTCAGCAGATTAAAATGCCTGCGAACGGGCAGGGGTTCAATCCCTGGGCCTGCCGTGCCAGCCCAGCTCCCAGGGCACGCTGAGACTGCAATTGAGACTGCGCATGGTGGTGCAACCTGTAATCCCAGCTCTTGCGAGACTGTAAACAGGCAGATCACTACGAGTCTCATCTAGTAGTAAGGCCCTGAACACCCTGTAGACCCTTCCATAAAATACCAAAACAATCTTATGTGTAGAACCAGGTGTGGTGGTACATGCCAGTAGTTCCAGTTGCTTGGGAAGCTAAAGCAGGAAGATGGTAAATTCAAAGCCAGCCTGGGGAAATTAGCAAGATACTGTTTCAAAATAAAAAATAATGAAATCGCTGGAATCGTAGCTCCGCGTAGCTCCGCGTAGAACACTCGTCCCTGTGAGGCCCTGGCTTGGATTCCAAGCGCCACAGAAACAAGTCAGTTGTTCCACGTGATCTGAAACCCAGCTTGTGTGCAGATTTCCCTTACTTTCTCAGTAATGTCATTTCACACGTGATCCAATCTGTGTCTAAATCAATCCATTGCATATGGCAGGGTGTTTTTTCAGTTTATTTCCAAACTGTTCTCTCCACCCTTCACCCCTCTTTTCATGCCATTTATTTGTTGAAGAAACTTGTCGAGTAAAACTTTCCACATTTTAGATTTGGCTGATTGCAGGCTTGTGGTATTATGTATTTTTTCTACCTCTTGTGTTTCTGTAAACTGTTAAAAATCTAGTAGCTTGACCAGATTCGAGTGTGAGATTTGTTTTACTTCATAAGAATACATCACAGAGACTAAGTCCCTGTCTTACTTATACTAAAATCAAATGAAATGGGTCAGAGACCTGGATGTAACACCAGAAACTTTCCAACTGCTAGAGGAGAGCGGAGGGAGTCCTTGGAGCCCTAACACAGGCTTTCTGAACAGTAGTGTGGGAGGTCACCAGGCGGCCTGCACAGGCTGAAAGCTGCACCGCAGAGGAGACAGCTACCAGTGAAGAGACGCCTGCAGCGTGGGTAGACTTCACCCCCGCTCTCCTGATGGAGGAATCTTAGCTAGAGTTTGTAAACTTGCCCCAGAGTGAATGGCCCAATAATAAATGAGCAAATGAACTGACATTTCTCAAAAACATTAAAATATAAATGGCCAGTTAAGTATATGAAAAAGATGTCCACCTTTAGCCATTCGAGAAATACAAATCAAAACTGCACTGAGAAGCCGTCTCAGAGTGGCTGGTATCAAGAATATAAAAAAGTTTTGGTATTTTGGGGGAACATATCCAGGAGAGGTATAGTGGGGACAAATTGGAATTCTGTTTAGTTTTTTGAGGAATAGCTATACTGATTAAAAACATCCTACTGTAATGATGACATGCTCTTTTATAGCAGCAAAATTCACAACAGCCACGTCTTGAAAGTAGGTGAGTGGGTCAAGGAAGTCTCTCCACACTGCGGAACATTACTCAGGCAAAGAATGAAATCATGCCATTTGCAGGAAAATGGATAGAGCTGGAGACAGTAAGTCTGTCTCTTCAATCATGATGGTGAGAAGATGTGTTCCTCTTCCCCAGTCTTGGGGAAGCTGAGGCAGAATTGTAAGTTTGACGTTAGCCTGGGCTGCGTGGTTGAGACACTGTCTCAAAAAAAGAAAAGTGGAGTATTGCATGTTTTCTCTCATATGAACAACCTAGAGATGAATGAGGGAAATGAATGAACAAATGAGAGATGGCAAGGAACTAGAAGGTGGATTTTTAGTGATGGTGGAGGGAGGAGTGAGGAAAGAATGGGTAATGGAGGTACAAGTAATCCAAATGTTAGGTACACATACCAACATAGGAATGCATCTCCTCCTCCTGTATTACAGACGTGCTTTAGTGAGAAAGCAGTGCTTTGTGATGATGACTGGATCATGTTAGCTTATCCCATCTGCTCTCGTCTCCAGGGAGCAAGGTAGAGGTAGCAGGCCTGTGGTCCCTGTGAGATTTCCACTGAATGATCTCAGCGTCCTGCTGGGGGACCTGCATTTCATTCAGGGACAGGGTGCTTTACACATAGCCTGTGGGGTGGGGAAGGAGACCTTTTTGCTTTTGCGTGGTTTAGGACTTATCTCATTCAATGAGAACGTAATGTTTCCACACCACGATCGCTGGCCAAGCAGGCAGGAGCACAGGCCTGCTCGCTGAGCTTGTGGATGAGGGTCTTTGGGGGACTGTGAAGGAGGAGCCTTTTAGTTCAGGTGAATTCATGCTTGTGAGGGAGTGGGGAGAGGTGTGTCACCTTGTCAGTGTCTGGACCCTCTGTCCTAATGTCTCCCAACTCAGTCTACTCTGCTCCTCTTGTGTGTCATCTCAGATGTGGTGAAAGGCGAAAAGATTGTCCCAGTATTTGATGAGCCACCAAATCCAACCAATGTTGAGGAGAGCTTGAGGAGAATTAGGGAGAACGACGCCCACCTTGTTGAGGTCAATCTGAACAATATAAAGGTAGGTGTGTGACGCAGACAGTGGGCTGGACTCACCGTGAGTGGGCTGAAGCCAGGCTGGCGGCTGGGCAGGTTGCGCGCAGTGGGCTAGTTCTTTCTGCTGTGAAGGGAAAGCTCCTATTCCTGACAATATGTGCCATAGCGCCTTCACATTTTAGCGATTACATATTATAGAACAGTACTTTTTAGCTTGCTTTTTGAAGAATTTAATTTTAAAAATTAAGGCCTATAGGCTGTCATTAAGACTTTCCAACTTCTAAGAACTTTTTATTTTTCAATGAGCTTTCCTATGGTGCTATTTATACATAGTAAAATTGCCCCTTGGAGTGTGCAGCTCTGGGAGAGGCGACAAGTACGTGCGGTTGCAGCCCGAGGCAGACATGAGGGATGTCTGACCTGAGCGTCCCTCGTGGGGCTCCTGCCCTCCCCAGCCCTGAGCCTCCTTGAGACGCCGTGTCAGTGGACTTACAGAGCGTGGCTGTGGAGCTTGGCTTCCCGCCTGGCTTCATGCCTTGAGACTCCTTCACGGTGTAGGAGGCTTCCACAGCCTGCACCTTTCTCTTGCAGAGTAGCAGACTATTGTATGGGTAAGTGGCCCCTTGTTTATCCACCTACAGGGTGACAGCCGTGGGGCTGCTTCCAGTTTAGGATCATTAGCTGTTTACCCTGAGTGTCGCCCGGGCAGGGGTCACTTCAACCAGTCAGTTCTTGTATTGAGTAAATTAGATAAGAGCTGTTGTTCTTATATTTCCTTTTAGCTTATAGAAATTAATGAAAAATGTGCAATTTTTGGTCATCCTATATTTAAATAATTGGACTGGTAAATGGTTAATATGTGGGAAGCTACGATACAGATTTACATACAAGTTCTTGTATGAATATGTGGTTTTCTTTTGAGTACTTAGAAATGGGCTTTATGATATCTTACTGTGACTAGAACTGTCGCTTTCCCGTAGGTGTCATGTGTTTCACTGTGGAGAATTTTTTTTTTTTTTTTTTGGTACTGGGGACCAAACTCAGGACCTTGTGCTTGCCAGGCAGGTGTTTACAGAAAATGTATTTCATTTATTTATGTATTTATTTTTTGATACAGGGTCTCTACACGGTTCAGACTCATAGTGATCCAACTGTCGCAGCCTCCCCAGTGCTGGGATTACAGGCATGTGCCACCATGCCCAGCTGTGGGGCTGGCACAGCATATGGTGCTAAGGATAGATCTCGGACTTTGCACTTGCCAGGCAGGTGCTTATAGGCCTTTTATTTCAAAGTCCTTGTCCTAGTTACTCTTCTCTCGTTGCTGGGACAAATGCCCGACACTCAAAATGAGGGAAGGAAAAGTTTATTTCCTCAGTTGCTGGAGGCTTCAAGACACTGGAGGAGAGGCTGGGGCGCAGCCTGTCCAGGATGGCGCTTTGCGCGGTCCAGAAAGCCCAGGCTAGTCGTCTAACTGCTCGCTCCTCTCCGGCCCCGCCCCTCGGCCCCACCCCGGCCTCTGGCCCCGCCCCTCAAGCCCCGCTCCTCTAATCGCATCTGCCCCTTAACTTACGTGAGGCTTTGGGGGAACAACTAGACACAAATCGTAAGTCCTCATCCTAAGCCTTGATTGCTGCAAGAGTCCTGGGCTTGGAGGAAGCTGAGAAGAGATTCCGCCCTCCGGTAGGAGGGGAGGGGGCTGGTGTCCTGGCGTAGCACCACGTTCCTCGGTCTCCCGGTGGCTAGTACGGCTGGGCATGATGTGCACACCTGTAATCCCAGCACTGTGGAGGCTGAGGCAGGAGGATGGCTGTGCGTATGAGACCAGCCTGGGCTGCAAAGTGAGCTCAAGGCCAGCCTAAACTGCACAATGAGACCCTGCTCCAAAAAGACTAAAACCAAAAGCAAAACAGATGGCTGGTATGAAAGCTGCTGGGCTGTACAGGGAACAAAAGTCTGGTTCCAGGGAGCCAGGGCCTTCTCTAGCAGTGTCCTCCTTCCCCAAATGGCGGGCTGAGCTCCAGATACCTTGTCAACGTTGTGACTGAGAATAGGTCAGGGTGTTGCCTGACCAAAACATGGACCTGACATGTGCATAGGCAGGGTGGGCTTTGGGACAGTAATTGCGAGGAGAGAAGTGAACATTTCTTTAGGCTGAGCACTAGAGACGGCGCAGGCTATGTGCTGCTGGGCCCCGAAGCCGACGTGTCACCCTGATGGAGGAGTCGGGCGGCTGCAGGGGAGGCTGCGTGGTTCCCACTTGTTGACCAGTGTCTGTTTATGTAATTTCTGAGGACATTTTAAGGCAAAGTGCAAGTGCAGATACATTTGGTTAATGGATGAAATTCCTTGCAGACTAAAATGTAGTGCTCTTTCACGTTGTTCTCTCCCAAGAACATCCCAATTCCGACCCTGAAGGACTTTGCGAAGGCTTTGGAAAGCAACACTCATGTGAGACACTTCAGCCTTGCAGCCACCAGGAGCAACGACCCTGTGGCTGTGGTGAGTGCCCTGCTGCTGCTGGGACCGAAGCCATGCTCCTGCCTGGCATGTGGCAGTGGCTTACACTATGACGTCATACACAAGGTCTGCCTTCTTCAACTACCTTTTGACATTTTTTCCCCTGAATTTCCTTCCTATGAATTTCTAAAAAAATAATGGGGCCATATGTGGTTGTGTACACCCATAATCCCAGTGCTTGGGAGGCTGAGTCAGGAGGATCACTGAGGGCAGTGTAGTGAGTTCAAGGCCAGCCTAATCTGTAGTGAGACCTTGTCAAAAAAAACAAACCTGGTTCTCTGTAGGCCACCCTGCTGTGTGTCCTTTTCTTACCTGACAGTCAGCTTTTGAGGGCTAGGGGTGTGGCTCAGTAGCCTCCTTTGTGGGAGGCCCTGGGCTCAGGCCCCCAAACTACAGATCAAAAACAAAACCATACTGGAATCATGCAGTAGATACATACTATGCTACTGTTGTGTTAACCCTTTTTTTTTTTTTTTTTTAATTTCTCCACAATTTTATTGAGATACAGATAGCAATGAGACAGTTTCAAATCAAATTGGTAGGACAGTTCCAATAATTAATACATTGCATACTCTCTTCCTAGTGGTTAATTGCTGTACAAGATGCAGACATGATATCCTATTTACAAACACCATTAGAACAAATCCCTCTATTCATGAAGAGATTGTAACTATGTATCTGTCCTAACCACTTTGAATACACAGATACAAAATGGACATTCATCTGGATCCCCTTTTTTGTTAAGTTCCATCATTTAAATATTATAGGTTTGTAAACTCAGCAGAATATTCTAAAAGAGTCCAGTAGCCCAGAATAGTATTGGGTCTTCCGCTTGACTGACAATGTCAGAAATTGTTGACCTGAGTCCCCCACAGCGCAACATAACAGCATGGCTTTACTTCTTATACTTCGTTTTTATACTTTTCTGCTGGATGTGTTAACCTTTTGTAAAAGGCGAAAGATTTATACAATCTGAAAAGAAACCAGAGTGTATGTGTTAACCTTTTGTGTATGCTGGAGATTTTCCCGTATCTACTGTATTGCTTTACCGTCTGCAGAAGAGTTCGTTTTGGATCTGTTGCTGTGGGTCTTTGTGCAGTGCTTTTCAGTGTTTGTGGCAGTGATCGTTGCATGTCCCAGGCTGGCTTTGAACTCACTATGTGGCCTACTATAGCTTTGAACTTGGCATTACTCCTGCCTTGGCCTCCTGAAAGAAAATACTGCGTTCAGAGACCCAGTGCAGCCCACTCCGGCCCGGCTCTCCCGTCTGCCCTGTTCTGTCTCCCTGTCTCTCACCACAGCGTTAAATTTTGCTCTTCCGCTCGCTCGTCTGTGCCCCTCCGGAATGCAGATCCACCTGCCAGAGACTTTAGGTTTCCTGCTAGTCTGCACACAGGGCTGGCAAACAGAGTCCATCAGCAGCCCTGGAACAAACGTGTGTGGGTGGGCAAGGTGTTTGCTGCCTGCAGCAGAGCCTGTCGCCCCTTGGGGAAGGGAAGGGAGAGTGTGTGGTGTCTACCCTGGCTCTCTGTAGGCCACCCTGCTGAGTGTTCTTTTCTCATCTGACAGTCAGCTTTTGAGGGGAAACTCTGATCCCTCCGCAGAAATCAGCTTTGGCGCCTGCTCCTGCCACCCTCACCCTCTCTCTCCTCCTCCTCCCCACTCTCCCTCTGGTTTTCTGCCAGCAGTCTGGCGCCCACCCGAGGCCGGTCTCCTGTCCTCACTCCTCCTGTGGCTGCACACTAGCCCCACAGCATGCCCGAGAAGCTGAGGGCCTGGGGCCAGGGGGTGGTGCGGGCAGGGTGAGGTGGGTGGTTGAGCCAGCTAGGAAAGGCAGATGGCCGGCTGGGCAGTGTAGAGATTCGTGCGGACAGGCCTATGAGTAGTGTGTATCCGGGGCTCAGTGCGTGACAAGACGGTTTCACAGCCGGTGTCTCTTCACTTCTAGGCCTTCGCGGACATGCTGAAAGTGAACAGAACTTTGAGGAGCTTAAACGTGGAGTCCAACTTCATCACAGGGGTGGGGGTTCTGGCACTGATTGACGCCCTCAGAGATAACGAGACCCTGGCAGAGCTCAAGGTGGACAATCAGGTCAGCAGTGCACGGCAGGGCCTGGGTCACATGGGACGTGGCACAGTGTCCATGGGCTGCCCCCAGTCATCCCCAGCAAGCTGTGCTGCAGTGCACCCCGCAGTGCTTTGAGATCCGAGGCGCAATTCACAGGTCTCCAGGCCCAGCTGGTGTCAGCCACATGCAGGGGACAGCCCCCACCAGGGGGCTCCTTGTTCCTTTGTGTGGGAAGTAACTTTGGTGGTATAAAACACTGTTCAGTGTGGGAACTGTCTCCCTCAGACCTTTGGAGCAAGTTTTGTGGATTCTGAACGTCAAAAGGGGGATTACATGTGACATTTTGGCCAAAATGCTTCTGTGTCCATTTTTAATTTGCTACCTGATCCATACCCGGAAGCTCACTCTTTGCAGTGAGGGTGAGGTGTGTGACACCCTCCCAGCTCCGCAGCCATTGCTGCTTGCCGCAGAGCACTTGGGTCGCCCAGAGGGGAGCACAGGGGAGGCGCCACGTGGCCCTGCTCCTCTGCCCCGGGCATGCGCTCAGTGTGCCTGGGTCTGCCTGGCTGGGCTCCGCGTCAGAGATCATGCAACGCGTGTGCTCCACGCTAGCTGCTTTGCCCTAGTGCGGTAGGTAGTAGGAAACCTGTGGCACACAAGCTGCAGCGGTCACACGGCCTGGTTGGCACGTGAGCCCCCAGCTGAGCCTCAGATGATGGTGGTTTATTCTAAACTAAAACCTCAACATTCAGGTCTCATTGCAGTGCTGGTGCTTTGCAGTAAATAGGTGGGTTTGAGACTGCAGTTTGGGCGCTCACTGCCCAAGTATTATCAGTGTGGATGCCATAGCTCTGCATAGTTCCTGTGTGGCTGCACAGTATTGTGTCACCTTTGCAGCGTTCCCACCTTTTATCTGTTAAAAACGCTGCATGAGCCAGGCATGGTGGTGCGCGCCTGTAATCCCAGCACTCAGGAGGCTGACACAGAGGGGTCAGTGGGAGTTCAAGAACAGCCTCGATTACATAACGAGACCCTTGTTATGTCAGATTCATTCCATCAATAAAAAATAATGCTGTGGACATTCATGTGCCAGGTCTTGTCTGCACAGACAGACGCTGTCCTCTCACAGGGCCGTGTGGAATTGCTGGCCAGGGTGTAGCGCCTGCATTTCCTTCTCCAGTTCCCAGATGGTTTCCATAGCAGCTGCGCTGCTCGATATTTATTCCAGAAATGCCAGCAGCCACACATTTTTGGCAGCATATGTTACTGGGTTTTTTTCTCTTTTGGGGACAGAGTCTCACTGTTGTGCCCAGGCTATTCTCCAGCTCCTTGGCTTAAGCAGTCTTCCTGCTTCAGCCTCTTGGTGTCCTTGTGATTATGGGGTACACATCAGCAGGCCTGGTGCTCACCCGTCCTTTTCCTTATGCTCATCCCCAGGGTGGATTTTTAAAAACTTTCTCATGTCATGTGTTGTAGGAATTGGGAAAATTAGCCTTCATGTTAGCCTTGATTTACCTGGAAAGCATTGCGCCACGCCTTACTTATAATGCTTTGCATTTGTGATTCTTCCAGAGGCAGCAGCTGGGAACGGCTGTTGAGTTAGAAATGGCCAAGCTGCTTGAGGAAAATACAAACATCCTGAAGTTCGGCTATCAGTTTACACAGCAGGGACCCCGCACCAGGGCTGCCAATGCCATCACCAAAAACAATGACTTAGGTAAGGCGTTTCAGACTCGAGCTTCTGGATCGTGAGATTAAGCTAGTACATGGAGCTTTTTACTTCCTTCTTTCTTTTTTTAAATGTTTTTGGTATAGGGCCTCACTACCCAGCTCCGACTCATAGTGATCCTCCTGTTTTCAGTCTCCCCCGTGCTGGGATTACAGGCGTGTGCCACCTGCCCAGACTTGGTGCTGTGCTAAGTGCTTCCGGGGGCAGGGCCGGCAAGGCTGTGGTGCCAGGGATTGAATGCTGGTCCCTGCACTTGCCAGGCAGGCGCTTAGTTCACTGAGCTGTCTTGCTTCCCCTGGAGGCTTTTAACTTTCCAAAAATAAGTTTTAACAGAGAAATTACTTGTCATTTGTTCTATGATCTGCGGAGTCCGTTTTGTCTGTGGCACTGACTGAGCCAGCTGGTAGTGACCGTGGGATGGGTCGTTGTCTTGGTTACTTTTCTCTCATTGCTGGGCCAAAATACCTGACTCCCAGAATTGGGGAAGGAAAGGTTAGCACACAGTTTGTGGAGGTTTCAGTCCATACTCAGTTGGCTCCAGGGCAGAGTGGCACATGGCAGAGGGCAGCAGCTTATGGTGCAGAAGAGCAAGAGCAGAAAGGGAGGTGCTGCAGGGAGCAAGCCTCTTTCCCTCCCTCACGTTGTGCCCAGGCTGCCTGCCCAGGGTGGGCGTAGCACTCACACCCCTAGTCCTAGCAGTGGACCGTGCATCAGTCACAGACGCTGGAGGCCCAGCCTGTGACTGTGCAGCTTTGGGGGACATCCAGATACAAACCAAAACAACCATGAATCAGCCTCCTGTGACAAGTGTGTTTTGCACTTTAAGTGAAGTGTTGACAATAAATGATTTTTTTTCAGCTACAAATCAGTTCGTATAGCTATTAAAATAAAGATTTCCACATTATAGGAAGTGTTCTACTATTTTCCTCAGAAAGAACAGACCCAGATACAAATTCTAGTTTCTGAGACAGGACATGAAACAGCTCATTTTAACCCCAAGTTGGTGTCGCACAGCCCTTGTCTCTGAGGAAGAGCCCTGTGTCTTCCATTGCGCCACAGAGGCCATGGCTTCCATGTGGGCTGAGCTCACTGGCCAGGGCTCTCCTACTGGGCCTGGCAGCAGTGTACGCCTAGGCCTCAGGTGGGCGCAGCGGGCCATCCTGCTCTGGGGTCAGATGCAAGATAGGCCTCCAAGCCCGTGAATCTGAATCTGAGACCCACAGGGGCCACGTGAAGGCCTGCCTCTCAGTTACAGCGCAGGCGCAGGAGCCCAGCACTTAATTTTGTTTCTGCATGTTTTCATAAGTTACGGTTGAAATCGCTGTGAAAGGGCTGGGACAGTAGCTCAGCAGCATAATAAGCAGCTGCGTGGCAAGCGCAAGGTCCTGAGTTGGGTCCCCCGTACAAAAAAAAAGTGCTATTAAAACATTGCAAAAGATACGCTTTAGAGAAGAATTAAAATAAGATGTCCCCCAAAGAGTGGCATTTGAAAATGCGCTTGTTCTTTGAAGCTCCAGCCATATGGAGCTCATATTTGTCTTGAGCAGAAGCAGCACCGCTTTGGTCTCTCGCCAAGATCAGCGTGGAGTGCATCAGTTAAGACCCTTCTTTCTGCGGCTTCAGCTCCCCGTAGGCAGCGTTAGCCACTTCTTCAACAGGATGGGTGTGTTTTGCCATATTGTGTTGTTGATTGTGGATGTGGTTTGCACAGTCATGGTAATTGTTTCCCTAGTTAGCTTCCATTTTTTCACTCCAGCTCTCCCCACGCAGAGGTACTAGGGCTGGGACCTGGACCCGCACTCTTAGCTACATTCCTACCCCTATTTAAAGTGTTTATTTTTGACAGGTTCTTGCTGAGGCAGAGTTGCCCAGGCTGAGCTCAAACTTGCAGTCCTCCTGCTTCAGCCTCACAGAAAGCTAAGATTACAGTAGACAAGTGCCACCTGATCTGGCCTGTTCTAAGTATTTAATTTTGCTTTTTATAGCAGTGTTTCTCAACTCTGACCAAACTTCATGAATAACTGGAGAGCTCAAAACACAATAAATTCTTGCCTTTCCTTCAAGGTTCCATCCTGGGGCAGGCCTGGGGCCCTGGATCCTCCCAAACAACTCAGTGGTAGGCTGTGCTGCTTGTGAGGGCCCAGCTTGCTTCTCCGGGTAGAAGGGAGCTTGAGTCTTCCATCCGCTGACGCCTTGTGCAGGGGTGTCCTGGGCCCCGCTTGTCACACATTGGGCACACTTCCTAACTGCCTTTTGTGTCATAGTGACTCCTCACCAAGAAGAGTATTTTCAAGTCCTGCTGTGTTTCCAGGACAGGGACCAGGCTGTGGGCTGGGCCGTGGCCAGCCGTAGCACCAGTGAGTCCTGGGCCGTGGCCAGCCGTAGCACCAATGAGTCCTGGGCCGTGGCCAGCCGTAGCACCAGTGAGTCCTCAGCCTGCCTGCCCGGGAGCTGAGTAAAAGCACGAGTGAGTGCATATGGTGGGAGTTCTTTCAGCTTCAGGCCACCCTGTGGGGGCTGGAAGGGCTAGAAGGGAGCCTCGGACATTCTGTATGCCTTTCGGAAACTGTCCCAGCAGAGCCCAAGCACTACCAGCGGTTTGTTGCCCTAGCTACCTCTGTCCCATACCCTTGCAGACGGTCAGCAGCCCCAGCCTTTGTCACAACAGGGCAGAAAGCCTTCACTAGGCCCTGGAGTCATGTCCCTGGCAGGCTCAGGCTCCGTATCTGTCCAGAAAGACATGTCTGACTGCGAGTAGAGGTCTTAGGCAGCACGAGTGAGGTGTGCCTCCGTCTGCCTGGCCCGCATGGTGAGACAGTGTGCCTAGAAGCCTCTTGGAGGAGAGGAAGTGGGCTCAGGGTGTGCAGGACTGCAGCTGTGGCCCGTACACACTGCCGTTCAGAAAGCGCAGACAGGGACCGGGGGCTCGGCGTGCAGCGGCACAGGACCTCCTCCCTGGGCTCACAGGTCAGAGCCTCGGGTCGGAGAGTGACCAAGCTGCGCTCGTGTGAGGAGCCACAGCCAGCAGGCTCCGAGAACTCAGCCTGATGCAGGGTCCAGACAGACACCGCAAGAACTTACCAGATGCCCCAGGCTAGAAGTGTGATGCTGGCCAAGTAAGGGAAAGTTGCGTTGGCAGAAGATGCTGAATCTACTGGAAAGAACTTCAGATATCTTTGGGCTTTGTGTAGGCATTTGAGTGCACAAGTGAGTTAATATTTTAAAACTATATAGAGCTGGCAGGATAGCTCAGTGGACTAAGCACTTGGTAAACGTAGGGGCCAGAGTTCACTCCCTGGCTCTGCATGCCGCACTGGCCCTACCCCCTGGGCATGCTGAGTTGGCATTGGAGTCTGGGTGTGGTGGCATGTGCCTGTAGTCTCAGCACTAGGGAAGCAGAAATCAGGAAGATCACTGTGAGTCTGGGCTGTGTAGTGAGATGCTTCATCAAAAAAATAAAATAAAACTTAAGGGCCAGCCAAGTAGCTCAGTGGATTAAAGTGCCTGCCAACAGGCAAAGGGGCCTGGGGTTCGATCCCCAGGCCTGCCGTGCCAACCCTGCCCCCCCCCCCGGGTGTGGTCAGATGGCAATTGAGACTGGGTGTGGTGGCGCACACCTGTAATCCAGGCTCTTGGCAGGCTGTAAACAGGCGATCACTACTAGTCTGATCTAGTAGTAAGACCCTGAACACCCGGTAGACCCCTAAAATACAAAAAAAAAAAAAACAACAACTATATTGCCAGGCGTGGTCCCACACACCTGTTGTCCCAGTACTCAGGAGGGGGCAGGAGGATCATTGAGTTCGAGACCAGCCTGGGCCACGAAGTGAGCTCCAGTGAGCTCCAGGCCGGCCTGGACTATATAGCAAGACTGTCTCCTAAAGGCCAAACAAACAAAACCCCTAATTACTCTTGTAGAAGCTGAGGCTGTTAAGGTCTCCCCACAGCAGCATGTAGCTTATAAAGGAATTGAGTGGGCTCGAAGCTCAACAGGGCAGAATTTAGAGCCTGTTGTCTAGCGGTGAGCTGAGGAGCAGGTGCCAGGGACGGCCAAGTGAGGCAGAGGAGGCAGCGTGTCCTTCAGCCCTCTGTGGCGCGGCGCCCTGCCCCCGGGAACAGCAGCGCCCGCCCTGCCGCTCTCAGCGCCCCTGCGCTGCTTTCCCAGCTGTCCCCTGCCATCTCAGCAGCAGATCAGCTGAGAAGCCCAGGCCCATTCTTGGGCGGCAGGGCCTCGGCCTGAGGAGGAACGGCTCTGAAAAGCCTGCAGAGCCAGGGCTTGAGTGTGCGGCCCGGCCTGTGACGGAGCGCTGTGAGATCTTCGGCTGTGGTCTGGATAAGGTCTTCCCTCGTGACTGCTTCTGCGTGGCCCTTCAGTGGCCTGGCTCTGCCACCTCCTTCCTGTCAGCTCAGGGTCACCGCTGTGAGTGCACAGACGGTGTGTGTGCTGTGTGCGTGCACTGCACAGCGTAAGCGGCTCTGGCACCATTTTGTTTAGGTCTCAGACATTCACAGCATCTGAAGCTGTAAGGGTGTACTTGGGAATTATAGTCTCCCCTGGGTTTTTGGCTGGCCTTGCTGTCCTTGCATAGCCCAGACTCCCCTCAGACTTACCTGCCTCAGCCTCCTGAGTACTGGGGAGACAACCTTAATAATTCAGCATAAAACTATTCTTCATTAGCACGGACTGAATTAGTCAGGGGCAAGCTTCAGTGGATAGGCGTAAAGTGTTAGGGTTCTGAAACTTGTAGCTGTCGCCCACCCGTGTGCCAACAAGCGCTCCTGTGCGCTCCTTCACGCCCACTGCAGCTGCAGCAGCAGTCACAAGATTTGCAGCCAGTGCCTCTGGGCTCCCGTTCCGGGTCAGCTGCAGGAGACAGGGCCACCCTGTTTGTCCAGACAGGAGCAAGTAGGAAGTCCCAGACCCATCTCACATGTCAGAGAGATGTATTGTGGAAGCGTGGAGGCCAGCGACACACCGACATGCATCCCCTGTGCCTGCCACATCCCCTGTGCCTGCCAGGCTGGTCCTGCTGGCCAGAACCCACAGCCATCTGCAACCTCAGCATGGTGGCTGGTGACAGGAGCACTCGATCTGCCTGCAGCCCCACAGCTATGAGGTACTGACGTCGAGGCTGCTGCTGCAGAGGAGCTGGGCACAGAGGGTCACTGCCTTGCCAGAAGAGGGACAGCACTGTGAGCCACGTGCCATCCCTCACTGTCTGGAAGGCTGAGGCCCACCGGTCTGGTGACACCCACAACACTGTTGGTTGGCTGAGGGGTGGGTGCACAGGAGCAAGGCCCTGAGGCAGAGGCCTGTCCTGTCAGGTGACCCCAGCCCACAAGAGCTATGGGCTGTGTGACAGCCAGAGGTGATGGTGGCCACAGGGGACTTTGTCACTACTCTGCATTTGCTGGCTTGGTTTCATCCAAACCCAGAACTGGTTTGTTTTGTAGGAGAACAGAGAAAGAGAATTTGGAAAGCAGCAATGACGAACATATTTTTGGTATATTCTCTCAGACTGTGGAAATACACTGAGGTATCTAACCAGGAGAGTGAGCAGATAATTCCTTTTACTACTGCCTAACCCAAGCTGCCTGAGTGTGTTGCAGAATTTAACACAGTGATTTAGCAGTGAGTGTTCTAAACACTGGGTCCATTTCTCCGTGGTCCCATTCTGTCAGGTCTGCCCCAGAGCCACTGTATGAGCAAGGTGTCAGCGGCCTGGAGCATGTGGCTCTGGGCAGAGGCAGCCGTTCAGCCTCTGGCAGATGACAGTGAGGGCATTGGGGACGCTTCGTTAGTGGTCATGTGAACTGGAAACGCATGTGTCACTCTTGCCCTGCTTGTTTGCCCTGCTTATTTGCCAGAGCATGTTGGCACTGCAGATGTCCAGGCTTTTAACATCCACTCTCTTCTCCTCACAGTGCGCCAGAGGCGAGTCGGAGGGGACTACCAGTAAGCGCCTGCGGCGCGCCTCCGGAAGGCCCTCGCGTGCCGTGCCAGCTGGTGGAGACCTCTCCTGGGTAGAAGGGAAAAGACTGGAAATCTTTCTACTATATACATTATTTTCTAGTTTAAGTTGTTATCAGTTTCAAATTGTAAATCAGTAGTAGGTGATATTTTATATTTTGAAGCATTTCTACTTTCTATAATGTTTTTTAAGTTAGCATAATTTTATGAATGATTTATAATGAGTCTTGGGCAAAAAATACAATTATGACAATATTTCACAAGTCATTTATGCAGAAAAATTTGAACATTTTTTAGGATCAGTATTTTTAAACCAAAAGAGACACTGCTAATCTCAGAATTACTGTTGCTTCTAGGTATAAAGGCCCTTGAGAGCAAGCTTTTTACCGCGTAGCTACAGACCTTTAAGCATCTTAAAAATACATGAATTTGGCAAGGATATATTTTTTTCCTTATTAAGGAAACACACCAGAATTTTAAACCTGATGGCTCAGAATCTGATGTTGAGGAGCCGCCGCCGCTGCCACCACCCTGGGGTGGGGGGAGAGGGTACACAGCTGTCAGGTGGCTGTGTCGCCTAGGGCTGGGGCAACCCGGGGGCCTGGGGAATTGACGTGTCAGCTCTGCCAGCCTGAGTGCTTTGTTTAAATATGATTATGTCTGTTGCAAAGTTGTCATTTAATGTGGGCATTACTAAGTCCTGTAAAAGGGCCTGGAGATGGCTCAGTGGAATAAGCGCCTCCCTGGCAAGTGCAAGGGCCTGAGTTCAAGCCCCAGTTCTGCCAGAAAAAAGCTAGTAAATAGGGCTACCCAGTGTTCTTTGTTCTAAACCCCAGAAAATATCTGTGAGAGGGTTAGAATCCCCCCCGGAGCCCTAAGTCCTGTAAAAACATCCGATAGAAAAGCTGCTTTCCTCTCCAATAAAAAGGCAGAGCCACGTGTCACTTAGCGCAGGCAGGAGGAAGTATGCTGCTGCTCCGTGAAAGCGGAGCTCGAGCGTGTGCCCGCGGGGTCCTGGTGTGCTCCAGTCCAGAATCGCCTCAGAGCTCGTGCGTGCGGCCAAAGGAGAGACTGCTGCTTTTCAGAAGCCTGACTTGCGTGTGTGCCTCCTGTCGCCCTGTGCTGCCTGGAATCCGCGTCCTGGAGTCCTTGCTGCCCGCAGAGCACTGGGGGCCTGCGCTTCCGCCCCTCCTCCAGCAGAGGCAGGCCAGCTGCGCAGCCAGGGCAGCCAGGGAGGGAGCCGCTGGCCCGGGCCACACCTTGCTGGGTGGGGCCACAGAGGTTTTGTTGCTGTAGCCCTGGGGACTGGACCCAGGGCGCTAGCCACTGAGCTGCAGTCCTGCCCTGTTTGTATTTTGAGATGGGCTCTCCGAGTCACGTGTGGGACCTGCACCTGGGATCCCCTGCCTCCGCCTCCCCGTGCTGGGGTCACGGTGGGGCATGAACACCGCATCAGCCTGTCAGGTTCCTCAGGAGCCTTTGCAGTGCACTTACGGAGTGTCTGCCTCTGGCTCGGCCGTTCTGTTCCCTCCCAGCCCAGCAGCTTCCTGCGGAGCTTGGAGATCAGCCTCCTAACGGCCTGTGCTGCTGTGCCAGGCAGCTGCAGGAAAGATTACCTGATAAGTGGGGTTAAATATCGACACCAAATCAGTCAAACAGAGAAACCTGCAATTGTGATTATAAGGGAGAACAGTAGTGTTCACGTTCATCTATAAAAATCTGGCACCTGTTAACCTTTTAATAATTTTCAGTGTTTCCGAATTGCGCCAAAATTTTTATAATGAGACAGATAAATTAGGGTATTGATATAGTCTTAATTTTTAAGCCAGAGATTTTCTAAGATCTTAGGTTTTATAGTCTAACCAATTTAAAGGTATCTGGTTATCTAAGAGAATATTCTTTGCATTTTTAAATTACTGATTTTTAAAGCTTTTAATTACTCCTTTTTGTAAAGTTTTATATTTATCTGGGGTTCTGATTTTTCCACTGCCTACATGAAATTGTATGAATTAAATATATTAGTGGGCAATGTGAATATGGCAGAAATGGATTGTGGTGCTATCTCCTCGTAGTTAAGCCTAGCGAAAGCTGAAGAGTAAGTTGAATGTACTCTCGGACGCCTGCCTGGAGAGCAGCCCCGCGGCCCATGCGGGCCCATCTTGGTCATGGGCTGCGCCTCCTGCTTCCGGTGAGGGAGCCCTGCGCCTGCCCACGCGAGTGGGCACCTGCGCGGTCCAGGCACCCCATCCCGACGTGTCTTCTTCCACAGGGGGTTCCGTGATTCAATAAAAATGACAGAAGGAAACAGTTCGTCTTCGTAAGATACTAGCTGTGTCTGTTGGGCATTCGGTTCAGCCCTGTTGCCGTTAAAGTAAGATGAGGGAGCCCGCGCCTCTCACCGTCCCTGGCTGCTGAGCAGCACCAGAAGCCCAGGACCAGTGAGGGCTTTGTGTGGCCCAGGCCATCACTGGCAGGCAGGACTCGGGCACCAGCTCGCCACTGAGGACTTCAGTTAAGAGAGTACATCCAGAGGCAGGTGCTTTGTGTCATATTTTAATTAGTCTTAAGTTATTTTTCTCCACTGTAATTCAGTATTGTAAGTTCCATAAAAATGGAACGACAGGACTTGCTTGTGAGGACAGGGTCTCTGTGTGGCCCAGGCTGGCCTAAAACCCATGGTCCTCCTGCGACAGTCTCCTCCGTGCTGGGATTACAGCCTGCGCCACCTCACTCACAGGAGACTTCATAATCAAGCACATGCAGTAGTTCATTTTTCCACTCTGCAGGAGTTTGGTCATTTTAGAAGAGCCAACCTTCAGGGTTTCACACGTGGGCTAAAAAAAGACATTACTGGGTGACTTACGCCAGCCATTGCTGTCTATTTTAAAAGGGCTTCAGTAATACATAAAGAATTAAGAGCACTGGCTTTAGAAGTCAGTAAAAATACTGCCAAAATAAAAAACACCAAAGCTGTGTTCACTTACTTGTACCAAGTTCTCACATTTAGGATTATCCCTCCCTCACAGGGTAGCTGTTGTGTTCTACCCCGGACACTCGCAGCGTTTTTACTACTGCGGCACAACTGGTTGGCGTAAGATTATCCCCGGTTCTGTAGTGTAGACATTCAGACGGCAGAGTTGAAGCACAGATTCTCAGTGCTGCTTGGTAGGTATAGGTGGCAGTTTTTAAGAGCCTAAACATTTCTGCTCGAAAAACAAAAGGTTTTGTTTCTTGAAAGAAGGTCTTGCCAAGTTGCTGGTGCTGGGCTGGGCCCTCCGGGCTCAGCAGTCCTCCTGCCTCAGCCTTGTGAGCAGCTGCGACAGGCGTGTGCCCTGCACCTGGTTTTTTACTGTTGTTCCAGATGTTTGCATTTGTCTTAGATTGTTTTTTTAAAGTATGTACACAGCATAAAACCTCTGTAATTTCAAATTCCTTTCATTGTCAGCCTCTGGGATGAATCACGGTGGGGTTTGGTTGTGGCGAGAAGCACAGAATCATGTTTGTAACGGCGCATCGCTTTGTCACACGAAGCCGGATTCTGGGCGCGCACGCTCATACAGATCCTAGCGCTCTCTGCCCTTCCCCCTTCAGTTTGTATAGGCATAAAAGCAGTGAGTTTTGTAACACTGACATTTAAATAAAGTTATTCATGTAGTTTATAATAACATAATGGAGTTTCTTCTGAAAAATATATACTGTAGACGTTTGAAACATTGTAGTGGAACCATTTCAGCAAAGTTTATCAAGTATCCTGTAGACTTCTCAGCGCGAGGACTGAACTGAGGACCTTCACACAGCTGAGTCCCAGCGCTTTTATTTCCTCAAACAAGGTCTTGGTTGGAGATGGCTCAGTGGCGCAGGTGCCTGCCTGGCAAGCACAACGTTCTGAGTTTGATTCCCAGTACCTAGAAGGAAAGAAAAGGAAGCTCTTGCTAAATTGTCCAGGCTGGGCTGGAGCTTGTGATCCTCCTGCCTCAGCCTCCCCAGAGTGGTAGGATTACAGGCCTGAGCCACCATACAAGGCTCCGTGTCAACCTTTTTTTTTTAAATCATGTATTTGGTACAGGGTATCACCAAGCAGCTCGAACTCATAGTGATCCTCCTGTGTTCAGCCTCCCCAGCGCGAGGATTACAGGGGTGCACCACCATGCCCAGATTCAGCTCAGTGGGACTGGCACAGCATGCCATACTGGGGGATTGAACCTGTACCTGCCCTTGCCTAAGCAGGCTCTTAGTCTGCTGAGCTATCTCATCAGCCCTATGTACTTTTTGCAAAAGTAACTATACCGGGGCCGGGGAGGTGGCTCAGTGGAATAAGCACTTCCCTAGTGAGCGCCAAGGGCCTGAGTTCAATCCCCGGTTCCACCAAAAAAAAAAAAAAAAAACTATACCTCAGTTCCTATATTCCGCAGTCCATTCCTGCCGCTCCCTGACACGGACTGTGACGTCCCCCAGAAGCACATGTTAAAGACCCACACGCATTAGGTCCTGCTCCACACGCGGCCTCATGACAGATTACTGTCCCTGTGGGGAGAGGTGTGAGACCTTGGCAAGGCCTCGGTGCCACCCTTGGCAGTTCCAAGGCGTGGAAGCCACCACCTGTGGTGTGAGGACACTCCAGCTGCATCACCACTTGGAACCACCCACAATCGAGGTTTCCTGCGGGTCCACGGAGGGGGTAATGGAGCAGGCTGGCTGCACACAGGCCAGCAGCCACTGGAGACCAGGCCCACAGGAAGGGAGCCGTACCTGGCCCTGCAGGACAGCAGAGCCACGCCGACAGCTTGGGGCTTCTGGACCCCCAAACCCAGACTGTGCACACTGAACTCCTGCTTTCCTGCCCAGCTCCACCCCCATCCCTGTAAGGCAGTGTTGTAAAAGATCAAAACTAAAGCCAAGAAAGATGAAAGGAGCCAACCTGGCCTTGAGTGCCTAGCGCACCTCCCTCTGACCCAGCGTCAGGACCGCCTTCACAGGCACTGCTGACGCTGCCCGTGGATTACTGAACGCGTGGGCTCCCGCGGGGTGAGTAGCAGCCCCCAGCTCACTGCCTGCCTAGAACCTCCGGTGACTGCTTGCTATTGGGTTTCCATAGCTATTAGGAAGGGGCCACACAGGATATGAGCTGGCCTCACCCCTGGGGACCGTCAGGTCCTGTGCCACCAGCCACGATGCCAGGTGCCGCCAGGGGTGGGGAAGGGCCGTCCCTGGGGCTGCGGCCCGCAGGTTGTATGACCTGTGGGGACAGCACGGCGGGTTCATGAGTCATCTTCACATGCAGCAGTAACACTTGTCCAGACACACAGACTCACTTTTAAGGGCTTTTTTATTACAATTAAAATTACACAAATGCAAATCCATTTCAATCAAAATAGCTCATGTTTACATATTTATAAAACAAACTGTACAACTGATACAAAAGTCTGTGCATTTCATGCCTCAGTCATCCTCCTCCTCCTCCTCGTCACTGATCACATACTTCTTGTGCTTCTTACTGGCCTTGTCATCGTCTTCCGCCTTCCTCTTTCCAGACGGCTCGCCTTCCTAAGGCATTTTAAAAAACCCAAAAATCAACCATGATGAATGCTACCACATACTGCAAATGTTTTGTTTTTTAATCTTAAAAGAACATTTCTAGGATGTACGTGGTGAGCTGAGCAACTCCTAGAAACCCCAGTGCTGCTTCGGTAACAACATTCGCTAAATGAACAGACAGCTTGTCCTTTGCTGAGCTTAAGGACAAGCCAGTCTTCAAGGCCACGGGTGCCAGCGGCACCCCACACAGCGCCCTGGCACCGCACCATCTTTGTCGAGCTCAGAACTAGCCCACCCAGAGCCCAGGCCAAGGGAGAGGGAGACACAAAGGAGACTGGAGCAAGGTGGCTGGAACCTGTCCCATCTCTGTGCCCAGTGGGAGTGGTAATGAGGACAGACGCACAGCCCACTCGCTATCAGCGCAGTCCCTACGGACAGAAACTGGCCACAGGAGCGTGAGGGCTCTGGCCTCTCCTGCCCACTCCTTCCAAGCCAGCTCCGGAGCCAGCGGGCAGGTAGTCTCCTCTAGGCTGACTGGGTCTCACTGGAGAAGGCCACAGCCTCCATCTGCCACCATGTCACCCACTCTCCTGGACAGGATGGGGTGCCAGCTCACCCAGGCAAGGGTGTAGGAGCAGCAGCAGCAGCAGCAGGATGCCTGCCTAAGTACACTGGGGGAAACTTGGGGTCCCCCAGGCTGGTTGGAACTGGTATCAAAGGTACAGCCCTCCACTGTCACCAGGCCAGGCCTCAAGCCAGGGTGGCAAGCTGGCCAGGCAGGAAAGGCGCAGTCCATGCTGCCAGGAGGGGACAAGAGGGCTGGCAGAAAGGCCAGTGGCTCTGCCAGGCTGCAGGTCTTTACTAAAGCAAAAAGGGAAATGTCACTTAAGAGGAGACCCAAGAATACACCGAGCCCCCAGACTCACCATTTCTACTCACAGCTTCCACTTGCCGAGGGATAAATATTGCCCGAACAAGGACTGTCCCTATCGCCTCCCATTCCCAAATTGCCACTGAGCTGTCACCTCACGGGAGCCAAGTCTGCCCGGGCCCAGGACCCAGCTCTGAGCATGCTCACCTCGTCGCTATTGAGCTTCTTGGCCTTAAGCAGCCTCTGCGCCTTGTCCTCCTCCGAGCCCTCATCGCTGTCCGAGGAGTAGATCCTGGCTCGCTCCTCTGAAAGCAGAGCAAGGGTCTGAGCGGCTTCTCCCTTCGGTGGGCTTCAGATCCTCCCACACCTGCCTGGAGGGACCAAGGGACTGACCGCAGCGCTCCCACGAGCCCTCAGCCCATCTCCGAGACCTTAACACTCCTGCTGCGCGGCCAAAGCGCACTGATTTTTCTGTGGGAAATTAGAACTGACAGAGATAAAAAGGTGCACTATGGTCCCCAAGCCAAGCACAGTCACTGCAAGAGGACAAGCGTCCCATTTCATAGGGTGCTCAGAGAAAAGAAAATGGGTGTTTTTAAAACATCACAGACAAGATGAGAAGATGCATGGTCCCCAGGCACAAGGCGTCAGATGGTGACTCCCCAGCTGCAGGTGACGCAGGTGGCCTAGGGCCTCCTCCACAGCCACGTGGGCATCCAGATAGTCAAGATACTGACAGGCAGGCTTGGCAGCAGCTGCCTTCTGTACCAAACCTACCACAGATGCCCGTCCTGCTGGCTCTGACTGCCCATGGCCAACAGACTGGAAGTTAGGGGAGGCCACAGGTCCTCAAAGTCGCTCGGCCGAGAAGGGCAGGGCTGAGGCAGAGCAGCGGAGACCCTCAGAGTCCAGCGCTCACTCCCACCCACCCCAGGACACTGCCAGCTATGGAGCTCCCCGGGGAAGACGGAAAACTCAGGTCTCAGGACTCTGCACCATGCCTACATGACTACGAGACTGCAGTAGGGAGCACTCAGGGCACCGGGCCTGGCGCCATGACACGCAGGGTCTGGATGCAGCATGGGGCAGACACTCACCACGGATGCCGCCTTTGTAGCGGTTCTTGATGGCGGCCAGGCTGATGGACTCCTCGCCTTCCTCCTCCTCGTCGTAGCGGTCCGGCTCCAGGTAGCTGGCGCTCAGCCCGCGCTGGTGCTGCTTCTCCCGCATGCGGCGCTGCTGCGACTCGCGGCGGATGGAGGCTCGCAGGCGCTCCTCCTCCTTCTGCTCGGGTGTCCCAGGGGGCAGAATTGGGAACTGAGGCCCAGGGCTTAGGGCGAGGGAAGGGTAACCCCGAGCCGCACAGCCCCCACGGGCCACACTGGAGATCACTCCAGCTCCAAGTCAGTCCGGAGGCTGCCCTGGGGGACGGAGCCCGGCCACGCACCTTGATCATCTCCGTGCGCTGGCACTCGGGGTCGCGGCCAGCCATCGGCAAGATCCTGATCTTCTGTGTCTTCGAGCATCTATCTGCCAGTGATAGCGTCATCTTCCTGTGCGTGGCACTGTCTGTAGAGTGCGGTCTGCAGATACGAGCAAAGCAGTCAGCGAGGGCCTGAGTTCAATCCCCGGTGCCCGCAAATAATAAAATAATAGGACACGTTATAAAAGCAAATTCACACTGAAACATGAACAACAGAAGCCGTGCTGAGGAGCACTTGGCAGGAGAGCGCCTTCCCGAAGCGGCACAGGCCCTCCACACGAGGCTGTGCTTCCAGTGCTGCAGGCCTCGAGCTCCTGCCCTGGGCTCACAGACAGGAAGGCACAAGGCCGTCCACAGGGCTGGGCAGAGCGCCACACAGCCCATGTGACACCCGCCATGTGACAGTGCCACTCCAAAGCTGAGGCCTAGCCAGCACCGTGTCCCCAGCAATGCCACAGTGCAGCCAGCACCCTCCCCAGCAGCCTGGAGACAGCCCTGCAAGGGTGTGGGGTGCTGCAAGAGGGCGACCCAAGCTTCGCTCCACCACAAACCAGTAGCCCCACGGCATGGCTCAGCCCCCCAGATCTGGGACACATGACTGTGTAGTCCGTATGTGGCAGCTACAGAGGCCAGAGGAGTGGACAGACTGACATGCTTGCTTACAGGGTGCCCCTGTTGGCCTGGCAACAGCCTGGTCTCTGTAACAGCCACTGAGATGCTGACAGAGTGGCCGTGGACCCTCTCCAGGAAGCAAGCCGCAGGACCCCAGCATGGTTACCTGAAAGTCAGCTTCGTCTTGAAGACGGCTTGTCCCTGCAGGCCCGTGCCCTGCCTGATGAAGAGGTGGTTGTGGTCGCCCTGCAGCGGTGCCTTGTACACATCAAAGACCTCATTGCCCAGGTGCAGAGACATGCTGGGGACAGAAGCACGGTTAGTCCTGAGATCTCCACTTTGCCTGCCACCCCTGGACTGCATGACCCAGGCTGCCCCTCCCCTTAAAGACTCCAAGGGACAATGGGGTCAGGAAGCTGGGTGACAGCGCACGCTGCCTCTGCGACAGCCTCGGGGGGATGTGGTCCCAAATGCCCAGCTGCAGGCCTGGGCAACGGGGCCTGGCAGCCTAACCGCCAGGCTACAGGCTGTGCCCAGAGGGCCACGCTTGATGTACCTGGGTCTGTGCATCCCCAGTGAACCTGCTTTTTTCTCTCATGTTTCCTACCTAAGCCCGGAGGAGCTATGCTCTTCCCCCAAGGACTCAGCTGCGACTTTGGGTGGCTGAGGCAGGAAGACTACTTGAGCCCGGGAATTTAGGGCCAGGCTGGGCAGCACAGAAGACCCTGAGGGGAGGCAGTCCCCGGCTCCTCCCTCCTCAGCTCACCTGCCATCTGACCACTTGACGATGCGAGCGTTGCTTTCCTTGATTTCATTCCCTTCTTCATCGCGGCGTGTCCGCCACCGGATTGTATTTTCTACCTGTGTTAAAACACCGACACAGTAGGAAGCTGCAGCTCAGCTGCCTTGATGCTTTTTCTCTTGAAGAGACACAATCGAGCTGTAAAATAAGCACTGAACCATCTCACTTTAATCACCTAGAAATGCTAAGTGAAGTATTTCAAAACAGGAAAGAAATCTGCTTCAGGAATTGCTGAGCTCCTAGAATCCAAACGCCACTCAGCCCAGCCCTCCATCTGCTTCCAGGCTGGGATGCCGACACAGCAAAGGCTGCGGGTGACAGGCACGAGCCTGAGCCCACAAGGCCACTTCAGAGCTGAGAGCCATGTGAGGCGAGTTCTCGCAGAGCTCAAAACACCAAAACAAGCTGGGCATGGTACTGCACGCCTGTAATCCCAGCACTCAGGAGGCTGAGGCAGGAGGACTATTCTGAGTTCAAGACCAGCCTGGACTACAAAGGCCAGCCTGAACTGCACAGTGAGATCCTGTCTCAAACACACACATACACAAACCACAACACAAAATCTCAGGACAGAAAACCCTGCCCAGGACCAGCAAGTCAGGGGCTTCTCACACCAGTAGGGCTCAAGAAGTGTCCCACAGAAATGAGACCCCAGGTTTGAAAAGTTGGGAGCCTGACAATCTCGAAAGCTTAGCGGGCTTCCAGGAAACTCGGCTCAGGAGCCACACGCAGATTATCAGCAGCATCCTGGAAACCCACTGCACTGACAGCGGGGAATTAGACACACACACACACACACACACACAGGCTGCCTTGCCCGGTACAGCACCCATGCACACTATGGACTGAACAGTTGAGCATTTCCTGGAACCCCCTGGGGTGCGCAGACTTAAAGTGCACGGCCCCCGCCTCACCTCACAGCAGGTGTCCAGTGCCCTCACTTCCCGGCACAGCGCAGCTCCCAGATGCCTGTAGCTCTTGCCCCTCCCGAGGAGACCCGCAGCCCCTTAGGCGGAGCAGCACCGGCTCCCAAGGACACGCGTGGGGACTCGGTCCATAGCCATGCACTGGACAACCGGAAGAACAACGGGTGAACAGGCTGTGGGCGAGGTGTTAGGGGCTGGGAATAAATTTTCCTTTGGAGTGTGATTTGCCTGCACACACAATTTGCGCCTTAGAAGGGGGCAGACACTTTACCAACAGCACACGCGAAGGGAGCGCTAACTTCCTAGTACCTAAAGGCAGCACTCCTCTTTCCTTTTGAGACAGGGCCTCACTCTGCAGTTCTTACAACTCACACTGATCTTCCGCCTAGCTTCCCGAGTGCTGGGATTACAGGCACGTGCTGTGTGCCACCATGCCCAGCTGTACTTCTACTCTGAAGAAAACAGCTGCTGATTTTTAAAAAGCATCAAAAAATATTAATAGCAAGAAAAATATTGCAGAACTGACTTTTTTATGGAGAAAAGATCAGCAAAGTAACATTTAGGGCTCCCATTTTCTAATCTGTCTGGCAGTACCCCACCATGCTGGGTATGTAAAGTCAGACTCTCAATTACTACATTTTCTTAAAAATACTCTGCACTGGCAAGTAATTCGTTTGGTTAATTGAACAGGAAACATAAAAAAATCATTCTCAAACCCTCACATTTCAAGAACCCCACGTTCTACTTTGTAAGAGGGGACGGTGAGGAACAGTACCTTTAATTTTAACCTGGTTCTACCCTCTTCGTCCAGCATTTCCTCATCTTCGAATTCGTCTTCATAGTACTGGGGATCAAAAGGTCTACAAATTGTTTTTAAAGCAGATGATTATCATATAGTTATAGACTATCGAATCTTATCAATACACACCAATATATCAGAAACTTAAAAAGCCATGATGGCCAGTATCTTCGCGCTCAGCTTTGAGAAATATTCAAATTACTGTAACTTCTTAAGATGTAGTGCTGGCTGGGGATGTAGCTTTGCGGCACAAGTCCCTGCTGACAAGTGCAAGGTCCTGAGTTCAATCCCCAGTACCAAAACAAACAACAACAAAAAATGTGTTCACACAAACTGCTTGAATAAAGTAGCATCAAGGCTAAATATTCAAAATCCTGTTTCTTCTGATTATGCAGTCTTTCCAATAGTAGGCCGCCTACGTTCTAGCTGTCCAAATCAACACTTAAATCACACAGGAGATTTATATCAACTTAGTAAGCACCTGGCAGCCCTGTGTAATTATGTAAAAACCCTGGCCTGTGGCAGCAGTGACAGATAAAATGGACAAGGGCAGTTTCCCTAGCAAATTTCACCCCTTCCATCTCAGGGTTTTTTCTTTACAGTACTGAGATGGAACCCAGGGCCTTCACAATGAACTGCATCCCCAGCCATGGGTTTTTTTGTTTGTTTGTTTGTTTTTTAATTTTTTTTATTTATTTGAGAGAGAGAGAGAGAGAGAGAGAGAGAGAGAGAGAGAGAGGGGTGTGTGGCCAGCTCAGCCCACCAGGGGGCGGGGCTGGCTGGCATGTGGTGCTGGGGGATCGAACCGCGTCCCTGATGCTTTGCTAAGCTTGTTCTAAGTAGGTGCTTCAGACCACTGAGCCATCTCTCCAGCCCATGTTTGTTTGTTTTTTTAATGTTTTATTTATTTATTTTTATTTCTATTAACATAGGGTCTCACTATGCAGTTCAGATTTGTGATGATCCTGTCTCAGTCTGCCCAGAACTGGAATTACAGGTGTGTGCCATCACACCCCGTTTCGGGGTAACAGCACGTCCAGGGCTCCAGGGCCGGCACAGCATGTGGTACCGGGGATCAAACCCAGGTCCTTGTGCTTGCCAGACAGATGCTTAGAGTGCAGAGCGATCTTCCCAGCACTCCAGCCATAGTTTTAACTGTATGTTTTGAGATGGGGGTCTCACTAATTCCCTAAGTTAGTCAGGCTGGGCTTGAACTTGTGTTTTTCCTGCCTCAGCTTTCCAGAGAGCCAGGTGTGTGCCACATGCCTGGCTAATTTCAGGTTTTTTAGGGCTACATTAGTTAAAAAGTCTCTTGAAGAGCCAAGTGTGGTGTCACACACCCGTAACTCCAGTCACTTGGCCTGAGGCGGGAGGATCACAAGTTTAAGGTCTGCCTGGACCACTTAATGAGATGGTTTTAAAATAGAACTTTAAAAGGGCCAGGGATGTAGCTCAGTAGGACAGCACTTGCCAGGCATGTGTGAGGGCCTGCGCTAGATCCCCAGGACCTTAACAAGGCTTAAAGACAGACTTGTATTTCTTTCTTTCATAAGAAAGTCTCATGTGGCTAAAAGAATCACAAGGAGGAAACGCCTCCTTTAAAAGTGATCCACTCTTTTCTATCTCAGTATGTTTATCATTTCAGAGACATACAATGAACTGTCCATTTTGTTTTATTCATCAACTCAGCTCTTTATAAAAAATACCTCTGCTTCTCCTCACGATCCCGAAAACCCCAGGTGTGCCTTACCGGGGCTCCACACTGAGGAAGTTGGGCAGTTTGACAAAGTATAGGTCGTTGCCCAAGTCAGTGTTCACTTTGGGTATCTCCACCTCTATCCTGGTCTCGGGGATGGGCTCCTCCTCCTGCTGCTCCTGAGCCAGTCCATTTTCATCCTGGGGAAAGAACCATGGAGTTTCCACCCACTCCTCAGGGATCAGGGAGCAGACCGACTCTTCTCTGCAAATCTTCTCACCCGGCCCATGGACAAGGGGTCACGGGACAGGAGTCACCTTTTGACACCCAGGACTGACAGCTACCCTCCCCACTGGCCGCCCACTTCCTCCAGAACTGAGTAACTCGTCTGCTCGCCCGCCCAACTCTCCTAGCACAGCCATCATCAAGTCCCCCCAGGGATGAAGCCCCTCCCTGCTGCCCCGGCCCTTGGGTGCCAGGCGGGCACTTGCAGGCATCACACTCACCAGGGGCTGCCCCGGGGTGGGTGGCTTGTCCTCCCCGTCACTGCCAGAAGAGATGTCGTCTGCACCTCCAAACAGGTCCATAGTGCCACTGCCGTCTTCAGTGCAGGAGAGAAAGCCCTGGCGTTAGCACTAAGAAGCTTCAGAGCCCAGTGCCAGCCTCAGCACAGCTCTCAGTCCACCTGGCACCAGGACCCCAGAGCACAGCCCCAAAGGACCCCAAAGTGCAATCCAAGAGCTGCCCCTGCTCTGCGTGAGCGCCAAGAGCCTGGGCTCCCTCCTGCAGAGCTCAGCACTTGGCCCACTCCACACTTGCGGAGTCCACCAGCAGGCCAGCGTCCTGGGACCAGCCGCCTGAGTGCTGGGATTACAGGCATGCACCACCGCGCTGGGTGCGGTGCTGACTGAGTTTAAATAGTGCCTCACAACTGTTCTGCTATAATTCCATCCTTTCTCGCTTTTATGTGATTACTGTCTCTTTCTTAATCTGATGTTTAACTGCTAAGAATGAAGCGCTCTGAGCGCTGCGACAGTCATGACTCAAGCTGCAGAATTCTGCCCCAGCGGAACCTTGGCACCCAGCGGGACTGCATTCTAGCTAAACCAGGAAGCTGTACCTCAGCCGCCTCGGGCCCTGCAGCCCTGGGAGTGCACGGGGTGGGGATGTGCCCCAGCTCGGCAGAAGAGGAGGCACAGAAGACGACAGGTACCTTTGGGCAGCTCGGTGTCACTGTCTGCCTCAGAATCCGAAGCAATCGCGTTCTTGCGTTTCATACGTAAGACTTCATCTTCGCTATCGCTGCCTCTTGCGGATTCTGGAGAGCACAGGTAGAAGTTGTGCGTAATCGCAGCCGCATCACAACCAACCAACCAGCGTATAAGCACAGACCGAAACAAGTGTGGGCACAGGCACTGGCTCAGCACAGTGAAGCTGGTCTGCAGGGAGGGGCGAGCCAGGCCCTCTCCTCCATGGGGGAACACAGTGTGGAGGTCACTGGTCAACAACCACACAGCTGATGTCACATCCCCCTGGCAGCCCACTGACTGGCCCCCACTGCAGACTCAGCCCTAAGCAAGCACAGAGATTGGCGAGGGTGGTGCAGTTCAATTACATGCGTTCGTCTTCTGCAAACGCCATCAGTTTTCCTGGGCACCTGATCACACCACGCATGCCACGGCACCCACATCTCAGGCCTGTCAGAGACAACCAGGGGGCAGTGTCTGCCTCCAGGAAGGGCTGCCCTCATGAACTGCAAGCTGTGCTTCCTGGGTAGCTGTGGAAATGGACCCACTCTGTCCTTTATCCAGCACCTCTAGCACCACAGTGCTCTCCACTACCGCTGCCTTTCCTTGCTTCCCTCCGACGTGCCGTCAGCTGACAAGTGGGAAGGGAAGTAGATGGCAGCAGTGTTGGGGTTTAGATCCAGCTGTTCCCAAGAGCTCCCTGCACTGGCAGGCATCATGCAGCTAATAGCCAGCTTACTATTGGGGGCAGGGCCTGGTGGGGAGGGGCCCTGGGTGAGAACCAGCAAGGGTCTGCCTCATCCTCCAGCTTCCTGGGGCCGGCCCATGCCTCTCCACCATGCCATCCTGCTCTGGAGCCAGCCCACTGTGGCCTGAACCCTCTGAACTGTGAGCCACCGTGAACCTGTCTGCCGTCCCTTGTGGTGGCAGCAAGGAGAAAGTCTTTAAGAAGAGTGGGGCTGGAAAGCAGCCACGCAAGTAGTTAGAAAAGGTGCAAACAGAGAGGGCCGCCGAGGCCCCTGCGCCCACCTGACTTGCGCTCCTGCTCCTCCTCCTCGTCCTCCGACGGCCTGCGGTCCTCGTCCGAGGCCAGGGCCCGCTCGTCCTCAGAGTTCTGCGCTTTGTCCTCGGCAGAGCCCCGTGGCCGCTCCTCATCCTCAGAGTTCTGCTTCTCGTCCTCGTTGTCGGACGCCGCGGGCTGCTCCTCATCGGAGTCTGCCTTGTCCTCCTCGGACAGCGGCGGCCCCTCGTCCTCGGACAGCGTGGGCCGGTCCTCCTCGTCGGAGTTGGGCAGGCGATCCTCATCGGACGCCGCGGCCGGCTCCTCCTCGTCCGACGGCTCGCTCCTGTCCTCTGCACCCCACCCGTCCTCCTCCGAGCCGGCCTTGTCCGAGCCGCCCGCCTCCGAGCGGGGGCCGTCGTCCGGGTCCTCGCGCTGGGCGTCCGAGCCGCTGCGCTGCTCCGCGTCGGAGCCGTCGTTGTCGTCGTGGTCCGAGCGCTCCGAGGCCTCCGACCTGTTGTCGGAAGGCTCGGACGGGTCCTCGCTGCCGCTGTGGCGCGAGGCTCCCTCGTCCTCGCTGTCGTCCCCGAAGAGCTCCTTGTTGCTCGGCTGCCCCGCGTCCGCCTCGCCCTGCTCACTCTCGCTCCCGGAGGCGTTGCTGCCCGACGCGGCGTGCTCCTGGTCGGAGTCCAGCTCGGATCCGGAGTCAGAATCTGCGGGGCACACAACGCGCGTGAGCGCCGAAGCAGCTGCAGGGCGCTGCAAGCCGTGGGCGGAGAACTCCCAGAGCGCCTGCCGCCCCATCCCTGGCCCGGGCACTGCCGTGGGGCTCGTGCGGCGGCAGGGCAGGCTCTTGTCCTCAAATTAAGTCAGGCCCTTCACACTGCATCCCACCCTGCTCTATTTTACCGCTTTGAGATCTCACTCCGTGGCGGAGCCACGAAGCTGCCCAAGGCCTGAGCGCACTCCCATGAGCTCTGCCAGCTAGCCTCGGGAAGGGGAGGGCTGTCAGCGCATGCTGTAACCCCCCCACACACTCAGGAGGCTGAGGCAGGAGGATCTCAGTGAGTTTAAAACCAGCCTTAAGTACATAGCAAAACCTGTCTCAAAATATCAGAAAGAAAGAAAGACCAAATACATAAAAAAAGAAAAAAAAACCTGAGAATTGGTAACTAGATCTGTCCTACAAGAAAAACTAAAGGGAGTCCTTCAGGCTAAAATAAAAAGACAACAGAGAATTCCTCGAAGCCCATAAAGAAATAACCACCAGAACAGTAGTGGACATCAAGTACAAAGGGCAGTGTCAGTGTCTCTCAGGCTAACAGCTCCTTTTCTTTTTCACTCAGATACACAGGACAACCATGCAAAACAATACCATGAATCCAACCCTTGACCAGACAACACACAAAGTTGTGATCTGAACAGTGACAACATAAAGGTGAGAGGATGGACCTATGCCAGAACAGTCTGCGTGCGCTATTGAAATTAAATCGGTGTTGAACCCAGCACGGAGGCACGTGCCTGTAATCTCAACACTCAGGAGGCTGAGGCAGGAGGATCACTGTGAGCTGACCAGCCTGGGCTAAGAAATGAGTTCAAGGTCAGCCTGAACTACACAGCAGACCTTGTCTCAAACAAAACAGAGCAAAAATAAGTAAATAAATACATAAATAAAATCAGTATTGATCCCAACTAGTTATAAGTTAAGACAACTGTAATATGTAGGGTAATCACTGAGGAAAGAGTACACAGGAAGAGGAAATCAGCCAAGGAGATAGCTCAGCAGCAGTATAGCTTACACCTGGCAACTGCAAGGTCCTGAGTTCGATTCCCGGTACAAAAAAAAAAAAAAAGGAAATCAAAACAGTTACGCTAGAGAAGAAAAACGACAGTGGATGCAGGCAGTGATGGAGGAACTAAGGAACAAAAGCTACTACACAGAAACCAGCGAGACAGGACGGGGGGGCACCCCTATAATCCCAGCCACTCAGGGAGGATCTAAGGTGTCTGCAAGGCACTCCCTTTAGGACCAAACCCTCAGGGTTATAAGTGAACTGTGGAGAAAGAGATACTATACAAATAGGAAGGCAGAGAGCTGAGATGGCTGTGCTAACATCAGACAAAAGGGACTAAAAGCTAAAACTGTTACAAGAGACCAAGAAGGGTGCTATAAAGTAACAGGGTCCTTCTAGACTAGTAGCCAGCTGCACTGTGAGAGATACACAGAGCAGCCCTCAGTGGACACCACTGCACTCCTTGCCATGGGTGAGGAATGGCCGAAGCCACCATGTACTACAACCGTGAGCCGGCCCAATGGACAGCCGTGGCTGTGAGGAGTACAGACACAGCTGCCCACGCGCTCTCCAGGGACCGCGTAGGACGCAAAAGCCTCAGTCTTGGTTTCTTCTTATTTCTTTTTAATATTTATTTATTTGATACAGGGTCTCACTCTGCAGCTCAGACTCCTAGTGATCCTCCTGTCTCAGCCTCCCCAGCACTGGAATTATAGGCCTGCGCCATCACGCCCAGTTTCAGGGCCCATGGAGCACGTGGTACCAGGGATTGGACTCAGGCCAGGCAGACACATAGGCCAATAGCTATCTCTTCAGCCCCAAAAGCCTCAGTCCTAAAAGACTAAAGTCACACAAAGTAGAGCCTCTGACTTCAATGGAATGAGATTAGGAATCAGCAACAGAGACAACGATGAAAAACTCAAAAACGTGGACATGAAGCAACATGCTTTTAAACAACCCTGGAGTTAACTGAGGGGTCACGAAGGCAATTAGAAAATTGTGGTGAATGAAAATGAAACAACAGGGCACACCAGTACTTTCAAGATACAAAGAAAGGGACCAAGATATAGCTCAGTGGCACAAGCGCCTGCCTGGCAAACTTAAGGTCCTGAGTTCAATTCCCAGTACCCACCCTCCCCCACAAAAAAAAAAGAAAAAAGAAAATAGTACTCCAGAGCAACATACAGCTATAAATACCTCTATTAAGGAAGAAAAATCTCAGGGCCAGGGAGATGTCTCAGTGGAATACGCGCTTGCCTGGCAAGCACAGGGGGCTGCGTTCAATCCCTGGTTCTACCAAAAAAAAAAGAAAAATCTCTCCCAAGCCTGAGGCAGGAGAATCACAAGTTCAAGCTCAGCCTGGGCAACTTGGTGAGACCCTCTCCAAAAACTAAAAAAGGATTGAGAATGTAGCTCAGTGAAAAGGCCCTAGGTTCAATCCCCAGTATCAGGAAAGAGGAGGGGAGGAAAGTGGAAGGGAGGGAGAGAGAGGAGGAAGAGGGAGAGAGAAAAGAATGAAAACAAACTCCAATCAAAAACCTAATCTTTTACTTTAAAAACTTGGGAAAAAAAAAAATAACTAAACCCAACATGCAGAAAAAAATGATACAGATTAAAGCAAAGGGCTCGGGAGATAGCTCAGCAGCATGAACACCTGCCTGGCAAGCACAAGGCCCTAAGTTCGATCCCCAGTACCAAAAAAAAAAAAAAAATAGAGCAGAGATTAGTGACATAAAGCATTCAGAAACAATGGAATCAATGAAACCATAAATGTGTCTTGGAAGCAAAACTGGCAAGTCCTTTGCCTGATGGAGTCAGGAGTGAGGGCAGGGGCGTCCTCTGGCTGTGCGGACCACGAGAACACCACCAGCCGCAGCGCACTGCACGCCACAGTGCTCACAGGGACGAGAAACTAGAACTACGACACGGAAATTCTGCGTGTATCTAAAACAAAGAGTTTGAATGCATTCACCACTGGGAAAGTTTCCAACAAAGAAAAGCCCAGGACTAGATGGTTTCCCTGCCAAGCCCTATCAGGCGCTTAAAGAAGCATTAATACCTACTGTCTTGGGCTCTGCCCAAAAACCTGAAGTGGAAGGAACATTTACTCACTAACTCATTCTGTGAGGTCAGCATGATTCTCAAGCAAAGCCCAAGTGAAACACCCTTAAAAAAAAAAAAAAAAATACAGATCAGTATCCATCATGAATACAGATGAAAAGACTACAAATGAGCATTTAGGGGTTGATGTACACTCCTATGATCTCAATATTGGGATGCTGTGGCAGGAGGATCTCTGTGAGTTCAAGGCCAGCCTGAAAAAATAAATAATAGCTGGATGTGGTGGAACATGCCTGTAATCCTAGCACTTGGGAGGCTAAGAAAGGATTGGCACAAGTTTGAGGCCATGGGGCTGGGGAGATGGCTCAGTAGTATAAGCGCTTCCCCAGCAAGTGCAAGGGTCTGAGTTCAAACCCCGGTTCAAAAAAAAAAAAAAAAGTTTGAGGCCAACCTGGGGAATATAGTGAGTTCAAGACCAACCTACATAGTGAGCCCCTGTCTCAAAAAAACAAAAATAATAATAACAAGCCAGCATCACGCTGGGCATGGTGCTACACATCTGGAATCCTAGCACTCAGGAAGCTGAGGCAGGAAGATCATTGCGAGTTTGAGACAAGCCTGGGTTACAAAGTGAGCTCAAGGCCAGTCTGAACTGCATAGCAAGACCCTGTCTCAAGAACACAAAAAAAATAAAATAAAAATTTAAAAAACAATGTGAATAAAGACAACTGGGGATGAGAGGAAAAAAAGAAGCTGAAAGGACACAGGAAGAACAAGAGGAGAAAAGGGTACCAACCTAGCCTGAACTGCATAGTGAGACCCAGTTTCAAAAAGACAAAAAACAAAACAAACAATAATAATAATTAGCGGAATATATCCAACAGCATATTCAAAAGACATATACACTATGAACAGGTGGGATTTTATCTTAGGAACACAATGGCTCAAGATCTAAGCACTAAACTGAAATACAATATCAAGAATAAAGAAAGAAACCATGGGATCATTTTATTTTTTTTTTAATTTTTATTTTTGTGTGTATGTGTGTGTGTGTGTGTGGCCAGCTCGGCCCACCAGGGGGCGGGGCTGGCTGGCATGTGGTGCTGGGGAATTGAACTGTGGTCCCTGTGCTTTGCTAAGCTTGCTGTAAGTAGGTGCTTTAGACCACTGAGCCATCTCACCAGCCCCATGTGATCATTTTAAATGATGCAGAAAAACACCTGACAGAATCCAACACTCTTTCATGATGAAGCCACTCAAGTAGGAATAGAAGGCAACTTCCTCAACAAGAAAAAGAGCATGTCCGAGCCAGAAGTGGTGGCTCCCAGCTGAGGCAAGAGCATCAGCCCAGGCAACTTAGCAGATGCTATCTCCAATAAAAGGGCTGTGGGTGTAGGCCTTTGGCGAGCACTTTGTAAGGCCCTGGGCTCGATCCCCCAGCACCAAGGAGAGAAAAGATATCTACAAAAGGCCCACAGCCTATATCCTAACAATGACGAAACCTAATGCTCTCTTTGTAAATAAGGACTGAAACAATCATGCTGCAGACAGTACTAGCCAGGGCAATTATATAAATGTGAGAAACAGTCATCAAAACTGGGAGGAAAAAAGCTGTCATGTATTCACAACATGATCTTATGTGGAGAAAACCCTGAATACCTACAGTATAGCTAATGCACTGAGCCCTGGTTGCAGAATAAAAGATCAGCACACAAGAATCAGCTGTATTCCTATACACTAGTAAACCGCAATCCAAAGTGAAATTAAGAAAACAACTCTACCTGCAGTAGAACCAAACAGAAGGAAACACTTAGCAACAAATGTAACTTAAGATGTACAGCACTTATAGTATGAAAACCACCAAACCACTTTGAAAAAAGTTAAAAACCTGGCACATTTAGAAAAGCAGCACACTGGGTCTAGGTAGGGCTGCTACCTCTTCTTCTAAGACGCTTGTCATCTACTTCCACAACTCTCATTGACAGGCAGATGATGAGATACGCCAGACATTAGATCGTCACATCCGTGCCACCTTTAGGAACAGCAGCGACCTTCAAGTGCAGCAGGACCGACCAGGAGCAGACCCCAGAGTCTATTATCTAACAGTGAGAGGGATGAAAGCTGCAACAGGTTTATAAGGAGGTTTCAGAAAATGCGGCCCCGAAAACCAAGCACGTCCATGCACTGCTTCCTTGCACTTCAGCCTTGCAATGGGAATGCACAAAATCCTTCTACCCACCCAGGTACTTACCAGCATGCACCTAGCCAGGGAGCTGCAGCGTGTTCATCCTGGTCGCCTTTCTCCTGGCCACCCGCCCAGCAGGAGCCCAAGCCCTCCTCCGTGCCCCTTTCACTATGCTTCATAAATCACGCATAAGGTGGAGCGGGGGGCAAATGCAGGAGAGAAAGAGGAAAGAACCACAACAACGCATCTAGCTAAGGAAAACATATACATACAGATACACCACGCTGAGCCTGGAGGGTTATAAGCGTTCGGAGCTTGGCGCAGAGCTCTTTCTTACCTCAAAGAAATCCTCTTTGTATTTTAAACGAGCACACCCGCAGCGCCAGTGCAGGATACTTCCACCCACCATAAACACCCGTCCCACCATCCATGCATCCTCCATCACCCGCATCCGCCCCTCCGCCCATGCATCATATCCACCGTGAGCATCCATCCATCGCTCCATCCACCACTGACACACGCACCATCCGCTCACCAAAACAGGCGTCCTTCCGCCCTCGAGGGCCCAGCGTGCACATCCACGCAGCCACCCGTAGCCTCCCCTCACCCTAAACGTCCGCCCACCCCTCCACCAGGCAGCCGCCACGAACGTCCATTCATCCACCCCCTACCCACCACGGACGTCCGTCCTTCCGTGCATCTCGTCGCAACTCTGCACGGCTGCCCTAGGCCGAGGCCCATCTGCTCCCCGCGTGCCCGCTCACTCGGGGCGTCCCGCGCACAGCGCCGCTTCCGCGCCCCCTGTCATCCGCCGACCGACCGCGCCCGCGGCCACAGCCAGCACCGGGGCACCGCGAACCCCGCTCGCGGCCGGCGGAAAAAGGGGCGCAGCCGGGCCCGCAACACCCGCCGAGCGCGCGTCGGCCGGAGCCCGGGGCCCCACCTTTGCGCTCCGCGTCGCTGTCCGCGTCGCTGCCGAACAGGTCCTCCATGTCCGCCATCGCACAGCACCAGGCCACCGCTACTGCTGGGGCCGCCGCCGCGCCGCTCTTTTCGGTTCGGTGCTGACTGAACGCGACACTGTCGCAAAGCCTCGCGGACGGGACTACTTTCCGGCCGTAACCGACTTCCGGTTCCACGCATCAGGAAGCCCCGCCCCTCGCCGGCGTCTCTACTTCCGCCGCGCGCGCTGTCTTCTGTTCGGCTCTGGAGTTTGCTGTAGACGCTTTCCCCCATGAGGTTGTCTGATGTCCAGACCTGTCCACTTATGTGCGCGGCCGCTACTGATAATTACCCTATTCGTGATCGAAGCGAGTTCCTTGGCTTTGGTTTGGCTTTTGAGTGGAGTCCCTTGCGGTCCAGGCTGCCTTTGAACTCACTATGTCTCCCAGGCCGGCCTGGAACTCGCGATCCTCCTGCCTCAGCGCCCTGCTGCAGGCGTTCGTCGCCACGCCAAGCAGATTTTATTTTTTTTATTAAAAATACTATTTTCGGGGACGGGGAGATGGCTCAGTGGAATAAGCGCTTCCCTGGCAAGCACAAGGGCCTGAGTTCAATCCCCGGTTCCGCAAAAAAAAAAAAAAAAAAAAAGAAGTACTATTTTCGGGCCGGCCAATAGCCCAGCAGATTAAAGCGCCTGCAAGCAGGCAGAGGGGCCAGGGTTCAATCCCCGGGCGGCGCGCGCCTGTAATCCCAGCTCTTGGGCAGCTGTAAACAGGCAGGTCACTACGAGTCCGATCTAGTAGCGAGACCCTGAACACCCTGCAGACCCTTCCCTAAAAAGTAAAAATAAAAAAACACTGTTTGCGTTTTGCAGCCAGTTTATGCTGACTATAGTGCGTGGTTGGAACATCTTGGCAGTGAAGCAGACAATGAGGATGAAAGGATGCGATCTGATACAGGGCTGAGCAGAGACAGTCCCAATAGCTGCATGGGGGGAGACGCAGCTTTCACAGGCGGTGTTTCTTTGTTTTTTATGCTATCCATGTATTTTGTTCTCTAAGAGTACTGGAAAAAAAGTCCTCCCAGGAGTATACTGTCCCTTCTTTTTCATTCTAAGAAACGTTACCCTCATTAGTCCATGTGCGCAGTACACGGGTAGTCGCACTCGTTCGCACAACAGACCTCAGTTCTCTTTTCATTCCCTCTCCCTCCCCCAAGTGTTAATTTACCTTAAAAAATAAGTTAACAAGGCGAGATAGCTCAGCGGACTAAGGTTCAATCTCCAGCCCCACAGGCAAAGCCAGCCACTGAGTTCAGGCATAGTTGTGCACACCTGTAATCCCAGCACTTGGGAGGCCGAAAACGGGATTCACTACAAGTCAGACCTGCATAGTAAGACCCTGTACCAAATACATTTTTGAAAATAAGTTAACAACTAGCTTTCTTTAATTTTTGACAGGGTGTTGCTCTGTAGCCTGGTCTTGAACTCATGATGTAGTCCAGACTGGCCTCAAATCCCCAGCAATCTTCCTGCCTCAGCCTCCACAGTGCTGGGATTACAGTATATGCCACCACTCCTGGCTAGGTTTCTTTAATTTAGTTTTGTTCCTTTATTTTATTTTATTTTATTTTATTTTATTTTATTTTATTTGAGACAGGGTCTCACTATGCAGTTCAGGCTGGCCTTGAGCTCACTTTGTAGCCTTGGCTGGTCTCGAACTTAATACCATCCTCCTACCTCAACCTTCCCAGTGCTGGAAGTACAGGCACTCTTAATTTCTTTAGTTTTATTTATTTATTTTTATTTTATTTATGTGTGTGTGTGTGTGTGTGTGTGTG